CCTTTCACTCCAGTGAAGGGACTTCTTTGCAGAAAAACAATTCTTATCCTTCACTCATCGTCTTAGCCCCAGGCAGCCAAGCACATAGAACTCACTCGATGTGCCCTGAATAGTTCTTGTACGGTGCACAATGCTCAGTGTGGCCTCAGTACGGAATTTTATCGGGAAACATCTGAGGCTCATGGAAATCATTCCAGAAGAAAGCGAAGAAGTCTTTGCTGATACTATTTTTTCCTTTTCTAATGTTGTTTCTGCCCTCTTTCCTTATCCTTTTTGCTCATTAATATTCAGGCTCAAGAGGGAATTCTCATGGAAAAGTTCACTTACCAGACCCTCCGCCAGCTGTAGCAGATGCCTCTACCAGGCAGGATACGACAGGTCGCAAGAGACTGAAAACTGAACACCGTGTCGGGTGGTGTTGAAACTGACCGTGAGCATTTGGGGGGTGCAGCTAAAGGGGAGGTTAAGTTATAGATGCTCTCAGTTTGGGGTACATGTAAGTATTGTACTGCTGCTTCATTATAGAGTTGTAATATTACTCCCCATCCAGGAATACCTCAGTATGTCACCCGGCATTACATACAAAGGCGGAGGGCCTGAGATCACATTATAACATGAAAATGTCCTACAGTGTCAGGGTTGTGGCGGAGAAACAAAGTTTGACATGTACGGGGCCAGGCAAAAAATGTCCTAGAGTAATTTATACACATATTACGGTTTTTTCCTGGACTTTATAATATGTACAATGGTTGTCATTCTTTAAAAAAAGCCCTTATATTATATCACTTTTGAAAGTAAATGTTTGCATTTTTATTAAAGGGAACCCCCAAAATTATGTGAATTTCGGGACCCACAAAACCTAGATGTGCTGTAGTTTGTGCCAGATGCAGGAGCCAGACGGAGATCCCACACCCTCGTAGGTACAGTGTCTCGGAGCTGTCTGTGGTGCTGGACACTGTGCTCACTGGCCTCTCTCCATGGTACTTGCTGCATGAGCACGTCTAGGCCAACCCATCACACCCAGAGACAGAACATCGGGATTACCAACCGAGGTCATGGTTAATGCAAAAGAATGGGCACCTTGCCCATGCAGTGACTGTGTAAAGGGAAGGGAGTGAAAGAGAACACCACAGGTGACTCCCAAGTGTCAGGGAAACCCAAAAGACAGGGCCACCAAGGGCGTATCAGCTCAAGCAAAACATGGACCGCCAAAGCATGCCTGACTCTAGACCAAGGGTGGGGAGGGGGGAGCGGATGAGGAGCAGAAGTAGCAAGAACGGCACAGACTGGGGGTGCCGGCTTTCTGAAGGGAAAGAGAGAATGACTGAGGGGGTGGGCTGAGAGGGAGCCCGGGGCCAGAACGAAGACCCTGCCCATTGAGTTAGTGGAGGACCGGCTGAAACTGAGACCTCACTCCCACACCCCCACGGATGCGAGTCAGAATTGATGTAAACGATGGGTGTATACCAGTCTTCTCGTGTCCCTGAGGATGCGTGGCTGACTGTCGGAATCTTGTTTTCGCTTGCTCGTTTTTGCTTTGAGATGTGCACTCAGTTTCTTTGGAAGTTGGGGTGGTCTGGACAGCGAGAGAAGGTCAGTGTCTGGCCCCCATGAATGAATTTCTTCCAGCTTCACCAGCTGAGGTGGGGCTCCCTAAGGCTGCTGCTATGGGAGTTGTGACCTAGCAGGCAATGGAATCTAAGGAGTCGATTCCCAGGAGAAACGTGAGAAATGCAAGGACCACACCAGGACCAGGGAGGGTCGGGGCTGATACAGGCTTTTCACTGAAACACAGTGGCGGTGCCAAGGAGGGACCGTGGGTGAGGGGAGGCTGTCAAGGCTTCTGCACTACAAATTGGCCACCAACCCCACCTCCTCCAAATGATCTACATCAAAACAATGTGTCAGCTCAGCCAGTGAACCTTCGGGCTTAAGTGCCCTTTGTCATGCATTGAAATGTTCCCCCACCCCCAAAGGCACCTGAGGATCCTAACTCCAGGTGCCTGTCAAAGCAATCTCCTTTGGAAATCAGGTCTTTGCAGACACAATTAATTAACAGGAGGTCATACTGGATCAGGGTGGGTCCCAAATCTGATATGGCCAGCGTGCTCTGGAGAAGAGTGGAAGACAGAGAGGCACAGGCAGACACAGAGGGAGAACGTCACATGGTGATTGAGGAGGAGACTGGAGTGGTACATCCACCAGCCAAGGAACGCCGAGAATTGCCAGCAATGCCAGAAACCAAGAGAAGGGCACGGAACAGATTCCCCATGAAGGCCTTCAGAGAACATTGGCCTGCCAACACCTTACTTTTACACTGTCGGCCTCCAGAGCTGGGAGAGCATGCATTTCCGTGTGTGGCCCCATCCAGCGTATTGCAATCTGTCATGACAACCCCAGGAGAATGGTCCACCCTTCCTCGGACAGGTTCCTTTCTCTCACAGCGCGACGCCTCCACCCTTGCTGGTACCTCTCCATGGAATGCCCTTCCTCGAGGAGTCTGCAGGCGTCCCCAGAGGATGGGCCAGTGAGGCTGGGGGTGCAGAGCATTCAGAGGCTTAAATACCTGCATCTCGGACAGAACTTTCCTGGCTGCCCCATCTCAACGAACCCACCCCACACCCAGTACTGTCTCCTCATAAGCTGCTCTAGTTCCTTCACAGCGCTTCCCTGTATCTGAAATCACCGCATTCCTTCCTTCCTTCCTTAGAATGGAACTGCTGGGAGCAGGGCCCTCATCTCTGGTGCTCAGCCATGACAGAGCAACTCCCGGCACACAGTAGGCGCTCAAGCAATAGTTCGTAAATGAAGAGTCAGATGCTCAGCAAGCATCTGTTGAATAACTAAATGAAAGGCACATTCCTTCTTGCTACCATCCTCCTTCTAGTGAGACTGACACCCCAAGTCTCTCCCGTATGAGAATTTAGTTAACTACTATGTCAGGAACCAAGGAGATAATTGTCTTTCCATTGGCCTTTACAAAACTGCATCCTGAGAGTTAGAAGGTCCAGCTGCTGCAGGTGTGGGCCCCTGATGGAGAACACCTGCCCCCTTGCCCTTCCACTTGTCAAATCATAATCTTTGCCTCTTGGGACGGCAGGCAGAGGGGGAGGGGCGTGAGCAAGGGTGATGAGCCAGCTTTCTGTTCAGACCAGAACGACGCTGCAATGGGCGTCCACCAGGGGGCAGTCTAACAAAGTGGGAGGACAAGCATCTAAATTGAGTTCACGTGAGGGCAACTGACAGCAATTACAAGACCAAAAAAAAAAAAGAAAAGACAAGTGAATTACATCATTACTCTGATAATCCCCCCAATTAAAAAGAGATTAAATAATGTCGAAGCCACGAGTGAGCAGAGGCTCCCGGGAGTCTCAGTCCCGGGAGAGCAGGAACGGAGGAAACCGGAAGGGACCTGAACACGCTCTCACACCCCCGCCCCCCGCCCCCGGTGGCTCCCCAGGGGCGGGATAAGCCGACCCCTCGGCTCTGACTGAGGATTCTCCAGGGCGATGCAATGGTTCTGGTTGGAGACTGCGCCCCCTGACTTGTTCCCGACGTGGTGGCGTGGGACAGCCAAGGGGTCACGCAGCCTCTGGTGCTTCACAGGGGTGATGAGCCCGGGCACCACCCGCTAAACCCCTAAAGGTCTGGGGGTTTGAGGCTAAGGCACAAGGCGCTGTTTGCCGGCCAGAATCCCCTCTCTCCTTCCGGTGTTTTCAGGAGTCCAGTGACCTGGGGCCATGAGATTACCTGTTGGCCAATGAGCAGGTGTGAGGCTTCTTGGAGAAGAAAATGAGTGGACTCAAAAGAGAATTTTTTTCTGCCTTTGCTCACTTTCCCCTCAGCCCGCATCTCAAGCAGACCCAGCCAGCCTCCCGGCGGGGAACACCAGGGCACGCTTGGCTGTGGGGCTGCTGTGCTACCTTCCCACGGAGTTGACTTCTTCAGGGCGGCCCACGCAATCACCGGGGGGAGCTGGTTCTGCGCGCACGCAGGCCTGCAGTGGTGGGCCTTCATTATTTCAGTTCTGTGCAGTACAGTCGCCAAACGGGGAGCGCTTCCAGACATCGGAGCCCGGCCTCCCCGAGGCAGAATCCAGAGCCGTCGAATGTCCAGCTGCCCTTGCAGGAGAGCACAGCTACCTGAGTCACGTGAGACTCCAATTCAGAAGTGAGCACCTTGAGGAAAGAGGCTCCATGGGGAATCTGATTGGCTGGTGAGAACAGTGCAAGGCTACCTACCTGCTTTCAGAACTGTGAGTCTGGGTCCCGGGCACAGAAGAAACACCGCTGGGCCAGCAGCCGTCAACGGCCTCGCCATCGCCCCCTGCAGGACACGCTTGGACACCTCCCCTGCCCCCTCCAGCCTCACAAGAGTTCTCTGAGCATCTCTTCCCTAAACTCTTCTGACTTACCAGTGAAAATTCTCTTCTGTGGCTAGCGACTGAGAGTCTAGACTGACAGGAAGACAGGGGTCCAGGGCTGTGACAATTGACAGAGCCTCAGGAAAGTGGGGGTTACCTGGGACCCGTTATCTAGTCTAGCAGGGGCTAAGGGCTCCGGACACTCGGAGGCATTAGGGGGTGGGACTCTGGCAGCCAGCCGGTGGTGCGCCCGTGGCAACCTGGAATAAAAGGCTCGCCATGGGCACGCTTTGGGGGTGTCTGGTGGCCACTCCCACCAAACAATACAGAGCCCACAACAAGGACTCTGGGGTGAGCTGCTTCCGTTTCTAGGAACCTAAACATCCATGTGACCTTGATCCCACTCACAGTGCATGAGCCTTGCAGGTCCCCTGGAGGCCAGGACTTGACTTTTCCAAGTTAGCTCTCAGCTCACTTGGGCCCGTTCTCAGGCCTCTGCTTTGGAATCTAAGGGGCCACAGGACCCAGGACATGAGACTTCTGCCCCGTCCACCTGCTCTCCTCCCTGCCCTCCACTTGTGCCAAGTGACAGCCACCAGGAAAAATGATAAGACGTTTATTGAGTCGTCTACAGCAGTGTGACGTCCATAAAGTCCCAGACAAGGTCGTGCGCACAGCATTAATGGCGGCGGCGGCGGGAGCAGGAGGTCTGTGTGGCTGGTCTTGGCCATGGGAGAGGAAACCCAGGCTGCCCCTCTGCCCGGAGGGACCCGGGGGGCCACGTCTGGAATGCCAGGGCTTGCCCCGCCCCAGCCCTCACAGAGGCAGAGCTACAGAAGACGGACACAGGACAAGACACGCAAGGCTAAGCACAGACACATCCCAGGGCTCAAGTTCAAGGGAAGGAGGAGGACTGGGCGCTCGGCCCACTGCAGGGACGTCCCAAAACTTTAAAGGATTTCTGTGGAAGTGGCAGGGAGATGCTGGCATTACCCACACAGAAGTCTCCTTATCCCAACCCCAAAGACAGACTGAGTCAGCAGACGGACACAAAGCTGCCATCCTGTGTCCGTCGGAGGAGCCCTGGCCTCCACCTTCCCTCCGGTGCTGGTGGTTTTCACAGATGGGACAAAGCTTCATCTAGGAGGGCGCCAAGCCGTTGGCCAACAGCACAGGGTACCCTGCGGGGGTCTTCACCCCGATCACCAGCCCACCCCTGGTGTGGTGCCCAGAGCCCATTCGCCAACAGGGCATCTCACTTCAACCCCATCCCTGTCCCACGGGACCGAACGCAAATCACGTCCTCCCGTTTGTCGGATTAGGAAGCAGAGGCCCAGAGAGGTTCCGCCCTGGCGCACAGGACAAGGGCTGAGGCCCAGGGCACCGGGCAGTCCCCCTACATCACAGTAGCTCCGCCACCTGTCCTGTCCTCTGGAGCGCTAATAACCTGTGTAGCCAGAGCCCCTCGAAAGCTGCACAAGGCTGACCATGTTCACAGAAGCTTTCCTGAGGGTCTCGCTCGGGCTCCTGCGCAGGGCTGGGCACCTGTGGGCGGGCCCCTGTCCTCACATCTGCAAAGTGCATTGGGTCCCAGCACGGCAGCAGGCACCAGGCTAGGCCCGCTGGTGTTTCTTTGTCAGCCCAGTGGGGAGGTCTGACCTGCAGATCTCAAGTTCCTCCCCGCTCTAGTGCTTGGAGCTTCCCCAAAGATACCTAGGGAAGGAGTCAAGGTCAAACAGGTCAGCTGCAAAACTGGGAGAAACCCAGGCCCTCCGCTCCCTGCTCAGGGCCCCCCAGAGGTCTCCGTGGTCACTAGGCTCAAGCAGGAATTGACGGTGACAGAGCACTCCCTGCTTTCCCTCTGGAGTGTCCTTGAGGGGGTCAGGGGGACCCCCAGAATAACAAAGAAAGCCTCTTCTGCTTTCCTTCAGGAAGGGAAAGGGTCAGAAGGAGGAGCAGAGCCAGCGCTCTCGGCAGGAGACTCAGGTGTAGGACTCAGGTGTAGGGCAAGCCTTGGGCCTGGCCCCAGCTCCCTGGGCTCAGTCCCTGGAGTCACTGGTGCCGGCAGTGGGGGGACTGGAGAAGGACTCACTGAGGACCCCAGGCATGTCAAGGAGGGTCGCTGAGACAGAGAATGTGGCCTGTCCTCAGACGTGGGGACTGTCATGAAGTCCGCAGTGCCGGGGGCCACCAGAGCCACTGAACCCCCCAAACCTCACACTCTGACCCTTCCTGGGCTCCCTGACAGCCTCAGCACCCCTGACCTGGAGTGCCACCTCCCCCAGGGCTGGGGACATTCCCGACACTGCCGTGCTAAGACACCCAAGACAGAGCATGAGAGACTTCCTCCTCCCAAGGAGAATTCAGCCTCCCCCGGGGAACCCTCTGTCCTATGGGGTCGCATGGAAGAGACGTAACTTCCCTTGTGATAATGACCTTCTAGAGTCATGCAGTTGGAACCTCTACTCCTCTCCGGCCTCCCCCGCCCCGGGCCTTCAGCTGCCCCTCCCTCGGTGTGCCTTCCCATCCTCTCGGGACCAGGCAACGGCCCTTGCCCAGGGCCCATCCCCAGTGGGGGATGGTGTTTAGACAGAGCCCCCGGGGTGCCCCGGGCCGCACAAATCACCCGGTCTCGCTGCCAGCATCACAGAGTTGGAAACAAGGGATCAGAGAGGAGGGTTCACCCAGACTTCATGCCGGCCTCCCACTGCCCGTGCCTCCGGAGGCCGCTGCCCGACCCGGGGCATGGAGAGCGCGGCAGGTACCGCTGCCCGACCCAGGGCATGGAGAGCGCGGCAGGTACCGCTGCCCGCGAGCCTGGCAGGTGTTGGTTCGGAGAGAAGAGCAAACTGACAAACCAGCGGGAACCTGGAGCCTCCGCGAGGACCCGGGCCCAGGGCTCAGGCGGGAAGCACGTGGGGTTCAGGGATTGCCGTTTCTGCTGTTTTGTGACGGTCTCTGCCCAAAAAGTCCAAGCCTCTCCTTCCACAGTGCGGCAGACTCGCTGAGGGTGGCGAGGGTGAGGAAATAAGGCCCATAGTCGGGGCTGCTCCCAGAATCTGGACGTGACCTCTGCCCACCCAGCCTCGGCGCCCTGGGGCCCTGGCCCACACCATGCCAAGGCACCTGGCCAGTGGTCCCAGGCCCGACCTTTCCCTGCGGCCCACCAGTGTCCACTGTGGTGTCCAAATGAAAGAGACAGGCGTTCCACTTCCAAGAATAAACAGCGCCCGCCCACACACACATACACACACGCAAACAGACACATCAAAACCTTGAGTGATACACATAATGGCACACGCCCTTTCCCCGCCTCAGACTCGAACTGGAGAGTGGCGGGCGTGCAGAGACCACAGAAGCATCTGAGGGCCCCTCCCCTCGGCAGTGGGGAAACTGGGGCCCAGACAAGGACCACTCTGTGTCCACAGTCTCCTGGTCTAGGGCCGACCGGGGAAGATCCTCCGTCTCCGAATCCCAGCCCGTGGCCCCTGCCAAGCAGCCCAGGCCCCTCAGTGGGGCCCCAAGTGCAAGGTGACCAGGGACGCCCACTTGAGTGACACACGGGTCTCATGGGGCCTGGTGCCGGATGGAAGGACCACTGGCCAGCCTCAGCCACAGACTGCCCGGGCAACAGCAGGCAGCTGCCTTCCTGCCCCGGCCGCGCCAAAGACCCAGGGTCCACAGTTCTCTAAACTACACATCGAAACCCTTCTCCAGTCACCCTGCAGGCCGTTCCAGAAGTGAGCGGCCCCACCAGCCCCCAGCCTCTTTCTAAAACCAGGCAAAGCAACATTCCCCTCCCCCAATGTGATCACGAAACAAGTTCACAGACGCACTCAGACGGGAACACCAAAAGCTGACGGCACGAAGCCGGCCCCACCCACAGGGCATGGCACTCCGGCACTTTCCTCCACCTCCTGGAACCAGGCTCTGGCCTGTTTTATTCTCGGGCTGGCCGTGGGGAGCCCAGACGGGCGCTGGGGTGCCTGCTCCTCTGCTAACAGGCCTGGTGGGCATGGCTTCCCTTCAGCATCTGAGACACCTCTGACACCTCCTTGTCCTCCCGTGGTGATTCCAAGAGCGCCCAGAGAGGTTGGTCTTTGCAGAGGTCTCGGATGGGTTTCAGTAGCTGAGTCCAAGCCCAAGGAGCTGGTGGCCAGGGCTCCTCATCGTCCATGGGGGTGGCGCTGGGGGTGGGGAGGGGCCCTGGGGCCCTGGACTTGGGCCCATGGAGGTGCAAGGATTCACTGACATCACTGGAAGGTGTCTGGCTCGTCCCAGTCATGGCTTTGACTTAAAGGAAAGTGGGGGTGGGAGGGCTCAGGGATTCTACGGGGAAGGCGTGGCTGGGGCAGTTCCTCTGAGGCACCTCTCACCTTCCACGGCTGACGCCTGGGGCAGGAGGGGCAAGAGAGCGGCTACCAGATGAACCCCGCCCTCCGTGAGCTGGAGGGACAGTAATGGAAATGGTGACGGTCTTCTTCCACAGGTCCTTCTGCATCCTTCCTGATTATATCCACATTTCCGGCTCTCGGCAATTTCCCTCAGGCCAAATGAAAAGCACCAGAACTTTCCCTGACCTTCAGCCCCCACTCAAACTGCAGCCTCAGAGGGGAAGGGGCCTGAAGCCGCCCCACTGGCCTGACACCCAGGAGCTGGGCACCCGGACACCACACACGGGAGACCTTCACGGCTGGTGTGCAGGGAAGGACGCTCTGGCTGCCCACATGGCACCTGTGGCTGGCCCCTGAGACTGGGCCAGGCCTGGGAAGGGCCCCGGGGGGATGGGCAGGCTGGGGGAGTCCACACGGAGAGTCACACAGTCGAGAGTCTGTCCAGCAGGCCCCACCTGCACCCCCAGAGCAAGGTCTTCAGCCTCACCACGGGCCAGGTGGTCGCTGAGGCTGGTGGCGATGGGGTAGGGGGAGCTGGGACCAGACCGAGGTGAGAGGGACACTGGACGACAGGATCAGGATGGGACGACTTTTCCAGATTTGAGGAGTATTTACATGTCTGGGGTCAGGGCCCAGGGGCCCATGGTGGGTGGGGCCAGCGCCCCAACGGGAAGAGGGGGGACATACCCATCTGCGCCTGCATCCTTCTCCCCCCTCGGGGAGCCCAGCTTCCAGCCCCGGGCCTGCCCGAAGGGAGAGAAGAGGCACAGCATGCGTGGCCGGCGCCCGCCTGCAGCCCCAGCCTGTGAGTGGAGGCGAGGAGGGCGGGGGGTGCTCAGGTGGCCAGGTTGTCGGCCGGGAGGCCGGACATGCGGATCTGGGAGCTGCTCTTGCTCAGGATGGAGAGCTGGGTGCCCCCGTTCACCCCGCTGCTGGCCAGGGACGGGTGCCGGTGCTTGAAGTCCACGGCGAAGTAACGATTCACCTTCCAGCTCCGCCACTTACGCTTGATCTCCGCCTGCACCTGCAGGGAGCAACGCGGGGGTCACCCCCAGGGGTGGGGACATCCTGTCCGACCTCATCCACCTGTCTCCCTGCCGCCTCCAGTGGTGCCCCGGGCCCCCAGTGGGAAAGGAGCACCTCTGAGGAGCTGACCGCAGCCCCTTGCCCACGTCACTGTCTGAGCCGGGCCCACTGATGGCTTCCTGGGGCCCTGGACTCCAGTGTCCACGGCCAGAGATGAGCCCATGGGGCCTCCAGGGAAGGTTTTAAGAGCTGGCCCCAGGGGCAGACAGATCGGGGCAAGGAGCACCACTCGCGCTGGCCATCAGAGGCGGGCTGTGCACGAGGCTCGTCCGGAGAGCTTTGAAGAGGCAGACGCTCAGACCAGCCCCGCCACACGCACATCAGGATCTCGGGGGCAGGCCTGCAGGTGTTTCACGGCCTCCCAGGGATGCAAGGGTGCAGTCAGGGGTGAGAACCACTAAACAACACACCCCTCTAGTGAACACGCCCCCACTTGCTCTTAGCATGGTATGTACAGGGTGTACCCCGTTTCAGCCTCAGTGCTCCCCTCAGTCCAGCACCCGTGTGCGGTGCATGGCCTGGACAACCGGCAGTGGTGCCGGCACCCACCATCTGGTTCCAGCTCCGCCGCACACAGCAGGCCCTGGACGAGCCCCATACTCCCACTGCTTGCTCCCTCCTATCCTGCCTCTGCTCGTCTGTCCTCGTCTGACCTTTCTGCGGTGTCTTAGCGACCCCGGGGGCCCAGTCTTCTCCTTTCTTAGATGCAACAGTGGAGGAGCCGGCTGAGGTCCAGCGCCACGACTCCTGTCCACGGCCCAAAGCCATCCCACCAGCCCAGCCCCATCTCGGCACCCCAGCAGGTAAGATCTGAGCCCTCAAGAGCATACATAGCACCGGACATGGAGCATTGCTAGGAGGCTCCAGGCCTCTCCCCACGGCCCCAGCGGAGTCCCCACAGTCCCCTCTCTATAGGGGATGGGTGTGCAGGCAAGCCGCCTGCCGGGAGCGGAGCAGCATTGAACTTGGGGCAGCTCTGCCCATCGCCGCCTGCTGCGCCAGGGACCTTGTTTGCCACGCCCCACTCTCCCTCACTCCCACTTCTTCATTACTGGGGCACGTCTTATGGCGAGAGCCCTCCCGGGTGGGGCTGCTCTCCACCGCCGAGGCCTCTGGGGGGCGGGGGGAGGGCTCGGCTGCAGAGACGGGGCCTCAGCTGTACAGCAGACCAAGTGGGAGGGGTTCTGGCACTGGGTGGGGGCTGTCAGGGGACCCTGGCACCATGCCACCCCCTTCCCGCAGGGCCCGGGAGTGTGGCAGAGCCCTGGTCTGGATTATAAGCCCTGTGTGGCCGGTAAGCTGCACCCCCAAGCGCTCCCCAGGAGCCCCACCCCCACTGCGTGGAAGCCGGAGGACCGGGGTCTTACCTCCCCATTCAGAAAGCAGTAGAGAACAGCCACCACGAAGCCCTGGGGAGAGAGAGAGAAAACACCTGAGCATGTGAGCGAGGGGCCTTCCACACCAGGTGTGGGGCAGGCGGCAGGAGGGAAGAGCCACACCGGGAAGCAGAAAAATACAATCCCTTGGACTGGGGGGCACCTGCCGACCAGGAACCTGGGGCCAAGTGGGACGAGTTCTGCTCCGCAGCCGGGGAGCCAGTGGCCGGTGACAGCCCCCTCCCATTGACACGCCTGGCTTCAGAGCCCGAGTTTCCTGGGTCAAATCCTGCCCATTCCCAAGGGCCGGCTCTGTCTGTCTTCCTACAAGAGGCCTCCCCCGAATGCCCCAGAACGTGCACTGGGCTCCCAACCCGCCTGCAGGCCTCCTGGGGGCACACCCCTCCAGGACGACACAGACCTGTGCTGTCCCCACCTGACCCTAGGCCAGGCGCACAGCACCCCCCACGCCATGGGAGTAAGTGCTCGACACAGAGTAGGTGTTCTGCTGCCCTACTACATTCTTCATGCATATTCTTTGCATTCAGATTCCTAGTGCTGAGACAGAAACCCGGGCTCTGAGTCCGGGCTCCAGGCTGGGGCGTTGTCTTTATAACTTGCGGCCTTGCCAAATTAAGAATTAAAATTGGGGGAGGGGAGAGACTCCAGTGAGACACAGAGAGGAACTTCCTGGCCGTCAAGGTCAAATACATGTTGGAGCCGTTGGGTGGGGGACAGCTGCTGTCTCCTGGGGGCACTCAAGGGAGCCAGCCCTGCGTGCACAGCCCCCTCGTGCTCCCAAATGGCCGTTTCTCACTGTGGACCGTCTCACCAAGTCTCCTTCGCTCACTTGCTTACAACCCGCCTACGTTCACGCGTGGGGCCCCTAGTCCGCCACTCTCTCCCTCCATGGGTCATTTCCGTGCATGTCCGCAGGTTCGTCCACCAGGTGAGACCTGGCTCCGCACTCTGTGGCCAGGTCCTGGCCTGGGGGCCCTGACTTGGGGGCAAGACAGACCTCCAGTGCTCACGGGGTACACGATCTGGAGCCGGGAGCCGGGACATGGGCACAGAGGTCTCTGGGGGGCACTCCACCCACACCCGGAGCTGCCACTGAGGGTTAGGGGCGACCATCCCGATCGCCAAGAGAGGCCTGGCTCAGGACGGCCCGGCACAGTGACTGGAAGGGGGCAGTGCATCTGCTCACAGAAGCCCAGAGCGCAGGCAGCAGAAAGGGCTCTCCCAGGTCTTTTCTAGTCCAGAACTCCCATTTCAGAGATGGGAACACGGAGGCCCACTTTAGGTTAAGGAACTTTCTAGAACCACCAGCAGGCTAGGGCCAGGGCCGTGGACCCCCGTGAGCCCTGCCCCCACCGAGTGCGTACCTGGAAGGAGCCCAGCCCCAGCTCGAACACCAGCCTCTCCCTCTTGCTGACGTTCTCCGGCGAGAAGGCGAACACCGTGTAGTGGATCCCGAACAGCGGGATGAGCAGCAGCGTGGACCGGGCCAGCCGTCTGTCGGGAGAGAGCAAGACAGCTGCTCCGGGGGCTGCCCGCGCTCGGGCCGGAGCCGTGGAGGGCAGAGAACCCCAGCCCCCGCCCTTTCCTCTCCCTCGGAGGTAGAGCCCTGTCCACGGACCCCCCCCCCCAGGGTTCTCCCCAAGTTCATGGGGCCCAGGAGCAGGGGTGGCCGACACAGCTGGGCTCCGGAGCTCCATGGGAGGTTCTGGGAGGACATCCCCCAGTCTGCAGGACCCCTGTCCCTCTAGGCCACGTCAGTGTCCTGTGGACCCACTAAGCGTGCACATGTAAGGATGTGATGACAGAGACACCCCCAGTGGAAAAGTGAAGTCATGGCAAAACACAGGGAGGGGGTTCGGGAAGCTAGAGGGACGGCGTGATGGGTCCCGAGCAGAGCCAGCACCGTCCTGCTGCCCAGGGAAGCTCCGTGGGCCCGAACGGGCAGCCCCCAGGGGCCGCAGAGATGGTCGTGTTTCTGAGTCTGGGGCTGGCCAGGGACACTCCTGGAGAGTGACAGGGCGATGCTGACCACAGGGTGGTGGGGTGGGGGCACGGTGAGTGGACCACAGAAGGAGAGACTCGGGCGGGATCCTAGGAAGGACTTAGTGACCGTGGGCGTGGATGATTCCCACCCAAGCAGAAGGAGCCGGAGGCAAAGGGAGAGAAAGCGGTCTGTCTGCATGGGGATGGGGTGGGCAGGAAATAAAGGGCCAGAAGGACCTCTGGTCCTCAAAGCCAGCTCTTCTGTGGGTCCTTTACCTGCTGCTGGCTCCCTGACCCAGTGGGAGGGGCTCTGTTCTGAGGGGCGGGGCCAAGGGGTCAAGTAAGACATCAAGTGTATACAGTACATGCCCTTGTGGGTCCTGTTCTGTGAAGGGGGCTCCTAGAGGGCCCCCAAGGGTGGGACCCCCTCTCCACCCACCCCAGCATATTGGCTCCCCCAAATCTCCTCAAAGAGGAGGCCTGCCTGGGAGGTGCTGTCAGCCCCCCGCACCCTCTGAGTCGGGGGTGGGTGGGAGGTTCAGCCTCCCCGTCTCCCTGCACCCTTGGCCCACGGGGTGGACAGCCGAGCGTGGGGGCCACCGTTTGATTTGGGGGGTTATAGCATGTGCCCCTCCCTCTTCCCCATCCCAGCTTCTCTGGGGGAGAATGCTCTGTTGGATCCGGATCTCAGAAGCAAACCCGCGTAGTCGGAGTGAGGCCCTTGGCTTCTCAGAGGGAAGGCAGAAGGGAAGGAGAAGGGGAAGAAAGAGAAGGAGGGGAAGAGACACGAAGAAAAGGGAGGAGCCACCTGGGAAGACCTTCCTGTGGACCAGGGCTCAGGCCCGGAAGGAGGAAGCCCACCCCCTCTCCCCCTGCTCGTGGGCAGCCTGTGCTGCAAGGCCTGGCCGAGACAGCACCTGCCTTCCCGGCAGCCCTGCGGCTGCCTGGGGTGGTCAGGGATTTCCGCCAGGGGTCCAGGGCGGCCCAGGGACCCCTTCGGCAGATGGGGAAGTGGAGGTAGAAGAGGAGGTGACCAGGGCCAGAGTCCTGGGACCTCCACAGTCCAGAGCTGACCAGAGAGGCCCGGAAAGGCAGGCATGGGGTGTGAGTGAGCCTCAGGACGCCTGTTTGAGGACAGTCGCAGAATCCCTGTGGGATCTGACAGGGACACGGGCCTTGGCACCTATAGTCTGTGCCCTGGGGAAGCATGCACGGCAGAGAACTCCTAGAAAATGCCAAGGAAAGCTTCCAACAGTCAGATCCGTCCAGTGAGAGCAGGCTCCCCACTTACAGGGATATCCGAAGGAGGTGACTGCTCCCCTCAAAGTTAGCCTGGAGCCAGGGGCAGGGCACCCTGGGTTCAAGCCTCACCCTGCCAGTTATGTGACCCAGAGTGAGCTACTTCACCTCTCTAGGCTTCAGTTTTCACATCTGTAAAATGGGGGCAATAGACGCACCCACCTCCTAAGGCTGTGGCGGGGGCTCAGAGAGGGAACAGCGGCCGCGAACTTGAAGTGTGAGTGAGGCCCACTGCAATGGGGGTCCCTGTCCTGTGCGGGGGCTGGGCCATATGAACTCAAGCACTAAGACTAGCAGAAAGAACCTGTCAGTTCCAAAGACCGGAGCCCAGAGAAGCAGGACATTGGGCAAAGGCCACACATCCAGGTAGCAGTGGCCGAGGCTTCCGGGCCCCTCCTTAGTGCCAAGCAGCCCCAGCAGCTCCCTCAATGGCTGCAGCTGCGTCCCCACAACCTCCTTCCCGCCCCCCGCCATGAGACTGCAGAGAACTCACAAGACACACAGACGTCAGCATGCAACAGCCAAAATGCGGCTCGGGGCTGGAGGCACAGGCTGCCCTCTGCTCTCCTCCAGCCCAGCAGCGGGCAGGCGGGCTCCAGGAGGCGGCGGCAGCATGCGTCCCCTCCCCCCACCACCGAGACATGGGCCACAGCCACGCACACTTACAGAGTGATGGCGGACAGTTCTGACATCTTGCAAGAGTGCTGCTGAGCCCGCTCTGGCTTGCAGTAGCATTTCTGCACGCAGCTGCTGGGTGTGACAAGATCAGCACTTCCGTCAGCGGGGGCATCGGGCAATGAGGAAACTGAGGTGGGACTTAGAGCCACGGGGAGGGCAGAGAAGCCGAGGGTGTGGAGAGAGGACCGGGCGGTGACACAGAGCACGAGCAAGCCGAGGGCCAAGACAAGGTCAGCTCTGGACATGGAAGTGCACGCCCACATGTGTACACATCTGTGCACAGACATGCACACACGCACACACGAGCACTTGCCCTGGGATCACGGAGGGGGAATGGGGGTGTCGCAGGGAGCACGTGCAGTCGGAAGGTGGGGCTGGGGCTGGGTCTCCGAGCCAGAAGCCGTCTCCAGAGTCAGCTCTAGGCTTGGAGTGTGGCCTTGCTGGATGTCACCCAGAGACCCAGGCAGCTGGACTCCCACACCATGGACCTTCCGGCGCCCAGCTACTTGTGGGCTGGATTACGAAGCCCGACTCCACAGACACTGGTCCCCCTGACTACACCTCTCTTCTTCCTCCCAAACCTTCCTCTGTCTGAGCCCCCAAGCACCTTGATGCGGACACACAGGGGGCACAGAGGTGGCCTGGACAGAACCAACTTTAGTCTAGACCTGAACGATCCGGTATGACAGCCACTGCCCATCTGCGGCTACTTGAGTTAAAACTAAATCAAGTTAAAAAGTACTTCCTCCCTGGCCCTGGCCACACTGCAAGGACTCAACAGCTACAGGTGGCTAGTGGGTCCCATGTGGGACAGCAGTGATCGCGGGCATTTCTGTCGCTGCTGAGAGTTCTAGCACACAGCCCGGGTAGGCTAGACCTCCTGAGAGGATCCAGAGGGCAGGGGCTGAAGGCTGAGGGGCATCTGTCGGGCACTGTCCCTCTGCCTGCAGAAACAAGTGGCCCAGGGTGCCGGTCTAGCTGGACCTGCTACTGGGGGAGGCCCAGAGCGCGCACCCCCTCTGAGAGGCCTCATTTCCATTGCTTCTAGCCCTTCTCTGCCCGCCTGAGCCTGGGACGGCAGAAACCCCTGGCACTTCTTGTCCTTCCCTGGCCAGCAAAGCAGTGTCACCTCCTCAGACTGCAGCGGACCTGCCGGCCTCACAAACCTTCCTCGGGCCCCAGGAGGTGCCGCGGTCCTGGAACCTGCCAGTGACCTGACCGGCCCGAGGGGATCTGATACGAAGAAGCACAGAAGCACGTGAAAGACTCACGGATTTGTTATCTGTGACTCCAGCTCTTCTAGAACAAGTCTGAAGGTCCTTGGCATCACGGGACCCGTGCCTTTTTGCCGGGGCAAACATTTGAACCACACATTTCAAAGATGGAGTAAGCTGAGGTCCGCCCAGCCTCTGGGCCTCAGTGAGGTCTATGGTGCTCATTTAAGAAACAGCATCTTTCAGCCCCGCTGGTGTGGCTCAGTGGATTGAGTGCCAGACTGCAAACCAAAGGGTTGCCGGTTCGATTCCCAGTCAGGGCACATGCCTGGGGTGTGGGGCAGGTCCCCAGTAGGGGGGTGCTCGAGAGGCAACTACACATTGATGTTTCTCTCCCTCTCTTTCTCCCCCCCTCCCCCTCTAAAACTAAATAAAATCCTTAGTATATCTGCTGCCAAAATGAGCACTAAAGATAAATAAAATCTTTTTTAAAATAAAAATTACCCTGGCTGGTGTAGCTCAGTGGATTGAGCGCGGGCTGCGAACCAAAGTGTCGCAGGTTCGATTCCCAGTCAGGGTACATGCCCGGGTTGCAGGCCATGACCCCCAGCAACCACACATTGATGTTTCTCTCTCTCTCTCCACCTCCCTCCCTTCCCTCTCTAAAAATAAATAAATAAAATCTTTAAAAAAATAAAAAATAAAAATTAAAGAATAGTTCTTTAAAAAAAAAAAAACCTGCATCTTTCAAATCCCACAGCACTGAGGTAGATGATGCTGGCCCATGTTATAGATGACGGGCGTGGGACACGGTGCTCTGCTACCCAGAGTGGGGCCCCCAAACCAGCAGCATCAGCACCACCTGACAGTTTCTCAGACTCTCGGGGCCACCTCAGACCTGCTGGCTCAGAACCTGCACCTTAACAGGGCCCCCTAGTGGTCCACACGCAAGTCAAAGCTTGAGAAGCGCCGCTGGGAGAAAGCTATGTGTTTGAGGAGTTTCTTCTGCCCTCGGTGAATGCCAAAGGTCTGTTTTGTATACACACAGAGAGACAGACGGCCACAGAGACGCATGTTTTCTTTTAATTACAAGCACATGTAAGTGCGTAACTAGAAGAGCTTGACTGGGTATTCAGGAGTGGACGGACACTCCTGGTCTCCACGTTCATTCTCGACCTTGCCCAGATTAAAGGGTGGGCTATTCTCTCCTACAGTCCTCGGCCAGGTCCCTCAACCTCGGCCTACGTGAAGCCCGGAAAGCAGTGTCCAGGGGCCTGAGAGCGTGACCCTCAGACGTCGCCTCCTCCACACTGGACTTGAACCCTCCCCCAGAACTCGAAAGCCCTTTGAGATCGCTCTGCCTGGAGCTCCCAAATTGTCCCTGCCCTTCCCGGCCCCTGGGTGCAGTAAAAATAGACTCCTCTGATTTGTTCAAAGTGTGCTCAAGGCCATTTAGTGGCAGGTTAGCTGGGACGCCAGCATCTGGTAAGGATGTGTGCCTCTGGTGGGGACTGGGGTGGGGGGAGAAAAAAGGAGGGGGGACCTAGTGCCTCGGGGTGGGGGGCTCTCGGGAGAAGGTGAGGGGGGACCTAGGGACGACAGTAAGGGCTCTTCTTCCCAAACGCCACCCTTCCCCCAGATCTCCCGTGACTCCGTACAAAACAAAACCCACCGAAGAGAAATGCCAGGGAGCAGCAGCAAAGCCAGAGACAGGCGTGAGAAAGAAAGAGACGTCAGCTTCTCTGGAGAGTGGCCACAACCAGCAGAAGGCGGCGAAGCAAGCTCATCAAGAGGAAGAGATAAACCCAGGCTGGCCAGCGAGCTCCCTTCCGATTGGGGTCCAAGGGAGGACCAGAAACTCAGACAAGGGTGCTGGGTGGGGGCAGCTCGGGCAGCAGCCTCAGCCAGAATCAGAGGGGAGGCCCCGCAGCAGGAAGTAGGGGAGCCCTGGCTCCCAGGCCCGGTCTGGCCAAGGCTTTCCTGTTTGTCTGCAGGAAGGTCAAAGCCATTTCCAGGTTTCCCACCTATAACCTGGGTTCTTGGGTGCCTGCTGTGGTCTCGGGCCAAACTCCACAAAGGCTTTGGTGCATGCCGTGAGTAAGGCTGCCTGGCTGGGGCCCCAGGGAACCCCGGGCAGGGGGCTGGACAGAGACCCCTGCGGGGAGACCTCCGTGGGCAGCGCCACTGTCTGTTCGCCTTGATCCTGGTGATCAGTCTGTCACTGGACGTGACAGGCCCACAGAATGCTGTGGTCCGAGCTGAGCGTTCCCCGTAGGGTCCCTCCTGACGCTAAGATGCTGTGAGCCCCCAGCACTCAGCCCAGGCCCAGGGAGGCACTCCAGCCCACACTGGTGCCCCAGGCAGAAGCCCAGCGCAGCAGATCTGGGAGCACCCCCCTTGCCCCCCGCCTGCTCCCCCACCCCCGAGGAGGAGCCAGCTCTGTGCGGCTGTATGTCCGCCTAGCCAGGGAAAAGCCTGTCCTCAGAGGTGAATGTCGTCTTTCCGACAGCAGGTACTTTACAGCCCCACTGAGCCAGCTACGGCACCACGGTTGGTGTCTGTCCTCTTCTCCTTCCTTCACCCTGGGGACCCTGGAGACCCCCTCTGTGGGGTCCCTGAGGGGGATACGGATGGGGTTTCCCTCCCCCGCATCAGCTTCCAGTGCCCACCATGCAGTGGGAAGACCCCTGGGAAGGAAGCCGGCTCCAACAGGGCCCGGCCCTGGAGCCTCCCCTCCCCCTTCTGAGCCAGTTGGCTTCTAGCAGAGGTGAACTTCCGTCCCCAGGAAAAGGCGGGCTACCCCGACCCCAGTCCTGGGCTGAGCCCTAGCCCCTGCCCATGACCAAGTCGAGTCTGAGCACACGCCCACACTCCCTGCCCGAGTCCTGACCCCAGGGACTCTTTCTACCGGGAACGCCAGGTGAGAGAGTGTGGGGGCTCAGTGCCACCGCCCAGCCCCCGACAGGTCCTTGTGCCACCTCGCCTCCACCTGCGGAGGACAAACCCTTATCACCTGAGCAGCTGGAACCAACCTACAGGAAAGGGAGTGAATGCTGGTCTGAGGGCACAGGCAGGGGGTCCTCTCGGGCTTTCTTGGGGACTCCCAGGCTTAAATTTGTTCTGGAAACAGAGGAAAAAACCGAAAAGCTGTTGGTAGCTCTGAAAGGGCTTCTCAGTTCAACACATAACTCTGGTGGCCCAAGGGGACTCGAGCGCAGCCCTAAAATCCTCTCCCACTGTGCGCTGCCCTTTCCAGTCCCCCCCCCCACCCCCGAGCCTCCCCTCGCCCACGGCAGACACTGCTCAGCTCAGCGCCCTCCAGTGGGCAGCTTTATACAAGGCTGGAACCACTGGGGCCTCTTCTCTTAGGGAACTTTACCTATATACTCGCTTAGCACCTCCTTCTCTCCTGGAAACTCCCGGAGGACAGGAATGCTGGTGCCGCCAAGCTTGGAGCCGGGAGCATGCCTGCGGGGCAGCTGTGCCTGCCTGCGCTCCTTCCTGCTGGGTCCGCTGCACTCAACACCGAGACCCGAGTTCCCTAGGCTGAGAGGCAGTGGGCACACTGGGCGTACACACATCTCACACGCCTGTCCCGCCAGGGTCTCTGGGCGCTCGTGAGCATTCAGTGGGCACGGACTGAGGTGCAGGTGTGTCTCAATGCTCTGAGTTCTTAGCGTCCCTGTCCCTTTGATGGCCCCTCACTGTCCTTTGGTGGCCCCTCACTTTCCCGTCAGGGTCTCCTTGACCCTGGAAACATGCAAACACGTCGCTGAATTTAACTGGATCGAGCTAACCCCTGGTCCTGCGTCCCTCACCCCTGGTTTGCAGAACACATCCATTGCGTGTTTAATCTCTGGGGCTTGGGATGAATGCATGTTTCACTTTCTCTATAAAAAGGATTTGCTGAGATTAGGAGGAGACTGTTTTACATGATAGAAGCAAACCAACTCACTGGTTCTCAAAACGTCAGTGCTGAAATGCACAGACATATCTCCTTTCGCTGCACTTTGCTGATTGTGTGTTTTTCTTTCTTTACAAACTGAAAATTTGTAGCAACCCTGTGTCGAGCAAGTCTATTGGTACCATTTTTCCAGCAGAATTTGTTCACTTCGGGTCTCTGTCACATTTTGGTAAATCTTGCAATTATTTCACACTTATCATTATCATCGCATTTGTTACGGTGATCTGAGATCAGTGACCTTTGCTGTTGCAGTGGCAGTTGTTTTGGGGCACCGCGCACCACGCCCATGTAGGACAGCGACCCTGACAGATGCTGCGTGTGTTCTGACTGCTCCAGCAGCTGCCTCTTCCCCAGTCTCCCTCCCTCTCCTCGGGCCTCCCTACTCCCCGAGACACAGCGATGTCGGAATCTGGCCCATCGCTAACCCTCCAGAGGCCTCTAAGTGCTCAAGTGGAAGGAGGAGTCACACGTCTCTCACTTTAAATCAAAAGCTAGACATGAGGAAGCTTAGGGAGAAAGGCATGTTGAGAGCTGAGACAGGCTGAAACCTAGCAAAACTGTGAATGCAACAGAAAAGTCCTTGAATGAAATGAAAAGTGCTACTCCAGTGAACGCACGGATGATGAGAAAGTGAAACAGCCTTATTGCTGACACGGGCAAAGTTCTGTTGGTCTGGGGAGAAGATCAAACCGGCCTCATTCCCCTAAGCCAAAACCTAACACACAGCAAGGCCCCCACTCTCCTCAATTCTTAAAGGCTTAGAGAGTTGAGAGCACTGCAGAAGAAAAGTCTGAAGCTATCAAAGGTTGGTTCGTGAGGTTTAAGGAAAGAAGCCGCTCCATCACATCCAAGCGCCAGGCGAAGCAGCAAGTGCTGATGGAGGAGCTGCAGCAAGTTACCCAGAAGGTCCAGCTCAGAGGACTCCTGAGGGCGGCTACACTCGACCACGGAGTTTCCTTGTAGAAGGAACAGCCTCACGTTGTAGCCGTCACCCAGGGCTCTCCCAGAGGGGGAGGGGACATCAGCACCTGGCTTCAAAGCTGCAAAGGACAGGCTGACTCTCCCGTGAGGGGCTAACGCAGCTGGTCACTTTCGGTTGAGGCCACGCTCATCTACCATCCCGAAAATTCTACAATTTTCAGAATTACGTCTAAAGAAATCTGCTAAGTCTACTCTGCCTGTGCTCTGTAAAGAGAGAAACGAAGCCTGGACGACAGCACACCTGTCTGCAACACGGTTTACTGAGTAGTTTAAGGCCGCCGTTGAGACCAGCTGCTCAGAAAACATTCCTTTTGAAATACTACAGCTCACTGACAACGGACCCGGCCCCCCAAGAGCTCTGACGGAGATGTGCAGTGAGATGAATGTTGCTTTCATGCCTGTTAGTGCAGCATCCGTTCTGCAGCCCAGGGATCAAGGAGTGATTTTGGCTTTTAAGTCTCATTATTTAAGAAATCAATTTCATAAAGCTGTAGCTGTCATACACGATGGGTCATTGATGGATCTGGGCAAAATGAATAGAAAACTTTCTGGAAAAGATTCACCATTCTAGATGGCATTAAGAACATTGATATTTCACAGAAAGAGGTCAAAATATCAACATCAACAGGAGTTTGGAAGAAGTTGATTCCAACCCTCCTGGATGACTCTGAGGAGTTACGACTTCAGTAGAAGAAGTAACTGCAGTCACCGCAGATGCGGTGGAAACAGCAGGAGAACTAGAATTGGAAATGGAGCCTGAAGATGGGACCAAATTTCTACAATCTTATGATGACGCTTGAGTGAGTGAGGAGCTGCTCCACTCGATGAGCAGAGAGTGGTTCCTGGAGGTGACTCTGTTTCTGGTGGAGACGCCGTGAAGGTTGTTGAAATGACAACAGAGAACTTAGAATATCACATAAACTTAGTAGAAAAAGCAGCGGCAAGACTCAAAAGGATCGCCTCCAATTTTGAAAGAAGTTCTGCAGTGCATAAAAGGCTATCAGATAGTATCACGCTACGGAGAAGTCACTCATACAGAAAACTGTCCCGCTTTGAGAAACTGCCACAGCCACCCTGACCTTCAGCAGCCACGGCCCTAATCGGTCAGCACCCTCAGTGCGGGGGCAAGGCCCCCTCCAGCAAAACGGGTAGGACTTGCAGACGGCTCAGGTGATAGTTAGCATTTTTTAGCAAGAAAACATTTTTATTAAGATATCTACATTGGTTTTTTAGACATAATGCTATTGCACATTTGATAGGCTACAGCAGAGTCTAAACATAACTTCTATATGCACTGGGAAACCAGAAAGTTTGCGTGACTCACTGTACTGCATTCTTCATTTCACGGCGGTGGTCTGGACCCACCCCACGGTGTCTCACGAGTAGGCCTGTGCAGACCATGTGTGAGTCACAGCGGTTCTTGTCTATGAACTAGGAAGGCCCCACAGCACTCTACAGCTCCAAGTCAGTGATAACTTAGAAACCCTGGCCCCAGACTCCTCTCCCGTCAGCCCTGGCGGTCCTCACTGCCTGGGGCAGGCTGGCTGGGCTGGTGGAGTGTGTTCTGGCTGCAGCAAGCAGAGTGTCCCTATTTAGGCTGCGGCTGAGTGCGGGCAAGCTGGGAGACACCCCAGAGAAGAGGTCCCGGGACCCCAGAAGGAGAAACAGACCCTACCATCAAACAGGGAGGAGGACCAAGGCTGCCGAGCTCAAAGGAGAGATGAGGCCAACTTGGCCACACGCTGGCTCACACATCCAAGGTAACTGCTCACGGGGGGCCAATGCACCCTCGAGAGGAGGCCCCAGGGCCAGACACGGGATGTATTACTGACGCTGGACAGGGTGGTGAGGAGAGCAATGGGGCCCTGTGCTACGGGGCCCTGCGATGAAGGCAGGAGTCACCTCTCTAGGGCAGTTAGCTCGTGGCAGAGAACAGGCCCGGCTGGTCCCCGAGGGCAGGGCCTCGGAGACTTCCTGACTTAGTATGCATGCACATTTTTGACTACATAACATACACATATGAGCAGGGGTTGGTAGAAACTTGCAAAAAATGAAAAAAAAACAGTAAATGGATAACAAAAGAAAGCATGTGGGTGGGTGACTCTTTCCCAATGGAATGGAATCATCCTCCATGCAGAACAAACAACGCTTACCAAACCAGGCCTTGGGCTGACCCCCAGCCCCAGGGGGAGGGCTTCCGCAAGGGGTGGCCTGGGCTGAACACACAGACCCCAGGAAGCCCCGAGGAGTCAGAGTCACAGGGAAGGATCTAGTGTGGGTCTCTGAGCCGTTCCCTCCCTTCTCTCTCCAGGAGAACCTTCTGCTGCCCTACTTATCCATTAGGCAGCTATCAGAGTTCTGAGCCCCACGTTGGGGTCTCTGATGAAGGCAGGACAAAGCCCCCCGCTAATGCATTGGGAGTACCTCAGCTCCATCCAACCTGCTCTCTTCTTTAAAAACCAAGGAAGCAACGCATGGGGCTTATATCCTGGCTGCAGACCGTCCCCAGAGACTGCTCCCAGATTCTCCGTGCCCATCTGGCCCCTCCAGCCAACCACAGAGGACTGACCTTCCACCCCAGCATCGGAAGTGTCTGCAGCACCCGTCCCCCACCCCTGCCACCCACACACCTAGCTCGGCCGTGCTTCTGACCACGAAGCAAGAAGGGTCGGATGAAACACACTCAGGCTGACTCAGAACGGGTCGGGGGCTGGAAGGGGATGGGGCAGAGAAAGCAGGGTAAGCTGTTGGGGACATGATGGCAGAAACACTCGTAGGAAACAAGCCAAATGACAGTGGAAGTGAAGAAAACTCTACACTCAGTGGTAAGAGGTTGCCTGCAAACCTCATCAATCCAAAACAACTCAGATGTTCCTCTGCTCAGGGAAGAGGGAGTCATAGGAAGAGGATCGGACCCACAGGCAGAGCTGTCCTGAGGGGAGGGGAAGAAAAAGAATGCCCCCTTCCAACACCGAGGCCAGCGAGAATGCCCATGTGGCTCGCTGGTGGCGGCTGTGGCAGTGTGCACAGGCGAGGCTGGGGTGGGAGCCTCAGGCACCCGGGGGCGTTCGTGAGCCTCCCAAAGCACCAAGATCCCCAGAGGAAACCCGGCTTCTAAACAACCAGACCCTACCTACCCTAAGGAATCTGGCAATTTCCATCTTGAGTTTCTCAGGGGGAAGTGACATCTGCTAGTCTCTTCCCCTCTCTTTCTTGCCTTCCATGCAATCACCATGTGGACTGGGAGCTCCTGGGCTGGCTGGGGATAGGTGGGTGACTAGGTCTTAAAGGCACTTTTATCAGAAAGACATCTTGCAAACGCCCGTGCCGGGTGACCCTGTCAGCACAGCCCAGGCCTCTCCGCCTGCGGCCTCCTGAGAGCAGGGCCCTCACAGCTGTTGGAAGTGACTATGGTATTCACACAGTGGTACTTACAAGTAGATGCTGGACTCATTGCCTCCCATGTCTGGAGACTGAAGTTTCTGCACCAGGATGAAGATGATGCCGACAAAGAGCCCAAAGTTCACCTGAGGAGCCAAGAAAAATCAGATGGAAATGATTCTGGGCAAAGGCTATCCACGCCCCTGCCCCTGCATCAGCTGTGAATGCCCCAGCAGGACCCTCCCCCATCCAGTCGAGATCCCATCCAGACTCATGATCCAAGATGGCGCTATGAGAACACGTGTTCGTGGGGTCGCAATGCCAGAAGAGACGGAAGAAAAAGAATCCCGCAGGAGTACTGAGAAATGGGAAAGTTCACCACGAGCGAGCCAGAAAAGGGGAGTGATTTCTGGAAGAGAAAGAGCAACTAGGGTCGGGGTGATGGAACAAGTCCAGTGCCAAACACATGGAGGAGAGGCAATTGCAGAGGTGAGAGCCGCCCTCTGGAGGAACTCCAAGTTCACAGTCACTGAATATGGGGAACTGGAAAGGACACCCACACACATGATTAATTAAAGGCCTGCCTGGGAGTAGCAACGGCAGCATTTACCTCCAGATAAAGATCAGGGACCCGAGCTCCCTGAGCCAAGTGCCAAGCGGAGGGCAGGGCGAGAGGGGAGGCGGGAGGTGGACAGATAAACAGGAACTGGCGCCGGGAGAGGACCGCAGAGCGACATCTTCCAGACGCCGCCGCGGCAGCAGCGCCCTGAGAAAAACATGGGGGGCCTCACACCTGCCTATTAAAAAATAATAAATGCCGAAGATAAAATAATTAAGTGTTCAAATGAAAATCTAGGGAAAGAGTACACAAATTTAACTTCTACAGTAAGGAAATTAATAAAGATAACAACTCATTGTAAAATTTTTTTTAAAGGTAGACTTGAGCCCTGGCTGGCATAGCTCAGTGGATTGAGCGCAGGCTTCGAACCAAAGTGTTGCAGGTTCGATTCCCAGTCAGGGCACATGCGTGGGTTGCAGGCCATGACCCCAAGCAACCACACATTCATGTTTCTCTATCTCCCTCCCTTCCCTCTCTAAAAATAAATAAATAAAATCTTATAAAAAAAGGTAGACTTGATCAGTAAAAAAAATTTCAATTTCAGGCCTTGTTTTGTCTGTCTGTTTGCGCAGAGCTGCGAGAATTAGAAAGCAGGCTGCAATGTGGAGGCAGGGCTCTGTCGGTCCTGTCCTCCCCCGCCTGCCCTGGGTCTGGTCAGTACCTGGAGTTTAGCTCAGTAAGTGCAGCTAACTGCGTGTGTGTATCCATCCAAAAGGGGAAAAAAAGTGTAATGAAACAGAACCAAAAAAAAGGAAGCTAAAACAACAGATGCATGGAATATTTTAAATTGTAAGAAGAAATCACACAAAATGGGGAAATGGAAGTTAACAAAAGCACATCTAGAAGATGGGGAAAACCTGAAGAGAGCAATGACCGCAAAAGAAACTTCAAAAGGAACAGACTGTGTGTACAAGAGGAGGCGCCAGGCCCAGACCACTTTACGGGGCAGTTCCAGGATACCTCCGAGGAGGACGCAATTCCCAAGCTGCTCCACTGTTCAAAAGCAAATAAGAAGAACTCCCAAGTCACCTATGAGGCTAACGAGACACTGCTCCAAAACACACACACTCACACACACACTCACACACACACACACACACACACTCACAGGTACACACCTAAAACCAGAGAACATACGAAGAGCAATGCAAAAGCTATAAGCGAAATATGAACACGGAGAGTTTAGCGGTGTCCCAAATGAACAAACAGATTATCACCATAAAGGTTTTGTGCCAGAAATACAAAAAAATGAAATGAAGAACTACTAAGACTTGCTACTGTAACCGATGAAAGCAATAGGCTACGGCCGTCCCTCAAAAGATCGGCAGGTCGCTGGGCAGTCATCGCGCCAGCGAAGACATGGAAATGAGCACTGTCGCACCCGGCGAGCAGGGGCCCCTGGACACCCACGGAAATGTTAAATGGGCACAGCCTGCGTCCCAGAAATTCCACGCCTGGAGGTGAATTCTAAAGACACACCCATGCGTGCCCAAAGATAGGCACAAAGACGTCCACTGTGGCATTGTTCACGACAAAGAAAAACCGAAAAACTAGAAACGTCCATCACTAAAGGAAAAACGACTTCCACAAATGTCTCCAAAACATGTTCGATACAATTCGACACCTAGTCCTGACTTTAAAAAACTGCACGTGGAGATAAGCCAGGACCAGAAACTTTCCTCATTTATTAAACAGTGACTTCCCAAAACTACAGCCAACATCATCCTCAACGAAGCCAAGGCATCGATGGTGTAAATATTAGAAAGAAAGAGAAAAAACTAGTTTCCTTTAAGGATTATGTAGTTTTTCTACCCAGAAAATCCATGAGAAACAGCTGAAAGGAGATGAGAACGAATAAGAGTGTTTTTAAAAGTGACCGAGAAAAAACGAATAGAAAATTACAAGCATGCCTAAACATCAGCAGTACCCTGCTAAAACACGTCATGGAAGAACGGTTCCTAGACGCAGCGGAAACACAGACTGGCTGGACTTATCTCAGAGGTAAACTGAACAACACAACCAAAAACTGCACAGCTGTGAGCAAGACTGAATACATGGAGATCTGTGCCACGTGCTGGGGGAGAAAGACTCATTATTTTAAGAAAATCGGTTACAGTCGTCCCTCTGTCTCCACAAGGGACACTTTTCAAGAGCCCCAGAGGACGTTTGAGACAGCAGAGAGTACCAAGCCCCCAGCGTACGCTGCTTTTCCTGTACATCCATATCTGCGATAAGGTTTACTTTACAAATCAGGCACAGTTAGAGATGAACAAGACCTGATAATAAACAGAATGGTTGTCACAATCTACTGTGACGAAAGTTCTGTGAGTGTGGCCTGTCCTTCTCCCTCAAAGTATAATCAATGTGACAACCGAGGTGGCTGCGAAGTGACCCACCCGTGTGGACGCTGCACAGCGGGGGTCCTCGGGACAGAGAGAGGGCTCCTGTCCGGGTGTGGCAGGGGAGACAGCGTGAGCTTTCATCACGCTGTTCACAGTGGCATCCACATGAAGACTTATGAACTGTGTATCTCTGGAATTTTTCATTTGATTTTTTTTCCAGACCAAGGTTGACCGCAGGCAACTAGAAACTCAGAAAGCAAAACTGTGGATAGCAGTGGGGGTCGGGGGGGTGCTGACTATACCTTCCAAGTTAGGTTATAAATTCGGTGTAAGGCCTACAAAAATCTCCACCAGGCTTTTGATTTGCAACTTGCCAAAGGACTTGAAATCCACGTAAAAAAGAAAACGTGCAATAAGATTTTGAAGAATAGAAGAACAAAGAAGGGGAAATCAGCGCACCAGATGTGAGAACACGCCGTAAGGCTGTAGCATGGAACAGAAAATCTGGGGCCTAACAACACAGTGAGTGCTGACGACACAGTGCCATTTTGGCATAACGGAGAAAGGGGGATCTGCTCCATAAAAGGAATTGAGAGGGTGGAGCATCTACCCATGGGGAAAAAATAAAACTAGATAGAATGAGGCATCATTTCAGACCAAGGAAGTAAAACTGGAGCTGGATGAAAGCACGGAATAACCCAATCAACAGAAGTGCGACGACGAGACAATGACGAAGCGTGTCTTTCTGTCTGAGGTCTGGGAGGGCCTCCTTAACCAGGAGACAGGGGGTGGAAGGTGTGGGGAGGAAGCCGCTGGCTTGACTGTCGGAGGCACGCCACCTCGAAATACACTCACAACCTCTACGCCAAACGCAGCGGTACTGTCCTTCGAACAGCGAGAAAGACAACTGCACTGGAAAAGTAAGCAAAAAATCAGCCGATAAAAAGGTAGTACCAGGAATATAAACAAATCACCAATCAACGCCGGGGAAACGCCCTGTGGCACTGGCGATGTGGAGAAACGCACCCCAAAGCCTCGAGCAACCATTATCCCCCGCAAGACTGTGCAAAAACTCAAATGACTGATAACACAAGCGCAGTGGACAACTGACCGACCCAGCAATTCCCCTTCAAAGGATTTGCTCTAAATAAATATTCATACATGCTCAAAATGATACACAGAACTGTCCCTGGTCGGATCTTTCATGAGGAGGAAAATGGGATGATATAAAAGGCCAGCATCATCCGGAGAGCTAACTAACATGGGCACCCATAAGAATACAATGCAACCGTGAATGAGCAGGAGGCTGGTGCAGGCAGTGACCTCTTTATTTCCTCTCCCGCCTGCCTCCTAGCCCAGACCGCCACCTCTCCCCCGCCCCACCCTTGTCCGGAGGACACTCACCATGATGGAGCCGACCACGGGGCCTTTGATCACCCACCACAGAGCTGTGCTGTCATTCATGTCCCAGCAGCTGAAAGACAGTGGGAGGGAAGAGGGACAATGCTCAGGGGGCAGGACGCCTGCCTGGCAACGTCTCTGGTCCTTGAAGAGGGGCGGCGGGAAGGAGAGCTCTCCGGGGCCCCGTCCTTCCCTCTGCTCCCCTGTCAACGCGGGGAGGAAGCCCAAGAGTCAGGTCACCAAAGGGCTCCTCAAGGGCCACATTTCTCCTTCAGATCTAGGACTCTTGGGGGGCGGCACCTTCCCCTGAACCTTCTTCCTCCCCTCCCCTCCCCTCCCCAAAAGGACCAGGCACTCAGCGCTGGGACCGGGAGTAGAGTAGGGCTCTGAAACTGCTTGTTCGCATGGCCTCCTGGCTGAGATGCAGCTGCATGGCTCCACCCAGGAAGGGGGGACGGTCAGTGCAGTGGACGCCCAGGGCTCGGGGTGCAGCCTGGGCCCAGTGTGGGATGGTCTGTCGGGGGGGGCAGTTAACGTGGCATCGGGGCACGCACTCACCCTGTGTCATCAAAGTAGAGCCTCAGCACGGCCCACACCGACACGCACAGAGTTGGGGTCCCTGCGAGAGCAAGACAAGGGGCCCCGTGACAACTGGATCACCCCCAGGCCCAGTGTTCCCCCAGACATGGGGCTCCCAGGGACAATCGTCCCCACCCGGACGTGGGGTTCTGGTCCACGGGCATGTGTCCCTGCCACACCTGGAGTGCTGGGGGCCCTCACGGTCCCTAACCCCCCGCCTCCTATGGGTCCGTGTCTCCCCTACACCACGGGCCGTGTCGCCTCACAGAAGAACTCCTGGGCGTACCCTCTCAGAGGGTGGCGGGCTTCCTGGGGGCGGGAAGAGCAGGAGAGAGTCTGCGCAGCAGGTGTGCGCCCTCTGCGGGGGCAGGGAAGTGCCTCCCTCTTGGCCCTGGCACCCTGACGGGGCACCAAGGCCACACCTGCCCATGAGACCTTAGCCTGTCCTGGCCACAGCCAGCGACCTACCCCAGCCAATAATGGTGTACCAGTAGAAGTATCTCCTCTCGGGGAAGAAGGTCTCCACCAGCAGGGTGAAGAGGTACAGGCCCTCGATGAACAGCCAGAAGTAGTTGGACACGACGCAGTAGTGAAAGAAAACCATGACGGCCTTGCATTCCACCTGCCCAGAGAACGGGAGGGGCGGGGGGCGTGAACCACGCCCCCCCCCACCACTGAGCCCTGAAACCCAGCCCAGCAGGACCAGGGAGAATCCCGAGGGCCTTCCGCTCTGGTGGGCTCAGGCTCCCGACTCCCGTGGGTCTGAAACACTTGAGATTCTTAGACTCACAGAGTTTAAAAGGTAGCAGCCTGTTTCCACATTGGAGCTGCCCACGGAGACTCATTCCCCCCCTTCTTCCTACCCCTTCCCCGCCCCCACAGGCTAGGCGATAACGAGGTCCTTGCAGGACAGGAGCTCCCCCCCCCCCTGTGATAGTGATAAGACGAAGGCTTTAGCCATGACAGGGGTGGGAATGGGGGATTCCCCTGCCCCCCGGGAATCTCACAGAGACCTCCTCTAAATATGCCCTCCCAGGCCAAGGCCCCGTGCCCTGGGCTGGCTTTTCCGCACCGCCCCCTCCAATCCGGTCTTCTCTGCTTCCTTCCACACGTCGGAGGTCCGGAAAGAAGGCCAGTCTGTCATCCCCTGGGCTCACAGGCCAGTTAAGTGACCAGGGACCAGGCAAGCCCTCTGTCTGAGCCAAGTGGGACTCGGCCTTTCTGCCTGACCTTCCACTGCTCTGCCCCTGCCACGAGCACCCCCAAGCCAAGGGACAGGAAGGGGCGTCATCCAGGGGACTCGCTGGCTCCTGGTCGGCCCTTGACCACCCCTGGGCTTCTGTGTTCACCGGGGCCCCACGTCTTCGCCTGCAGGGAGCCCCCGGGCGGCAGGCACGTCCCGGCAGGGTGCAGCCCACGCACCGAGGAGATGAAGCAGTGGCTGCTGTCGTGCTCCTCGTAGAGGACCCAGTCCTTGATGAAGACAGAGATGGCCCGCAGCATGAAGGACACGAACAGGTTCATGTGGATGAAGTTGCGGGTGCAGTGCAGCTTCCTGCGGCAGCAGGGGGAGAGGCCTTGAGGCTGCGAGCCCGCAGCGCAGCAGCCCACGCTCGGGGTCCGCTCGGGGACACCTGCGTGGCTGTGTGTCAGTGCGGCTCCCCCCCTCAGACCGCCCGCCCCCTTCCTCCCACCCCCCTCAGTCTCAGGCCCCTGTCCCCCAACCCCAGGACACCTCAGGGCCAGACGTCCCCCTCCAGTGGCCTCTCTGTCTAGACCAGGAAGAGACACCGAGGTCTCCTGCCCTGGACGGGCCGGGTGCCCTCTCTGAGCTCAAGGTTCCCATCTGTTATCCTAGGGGGGGGGGGGACACCTCCCAGCGCAGCTCCGGGACTGACATCCGGGGGACTCAGCCAGGGGCGATCTCTGCTCCCTGGAACACTGCTGGAGGTCTCACCGGAAGCGACACAGGATGACCATGGCCGTGGTGAGCGACACGAGGGACGTGCTGTAGCCGGCCGTGTACAGAGCCTTCACCGACAGGTAGTAGGAGTCCTGGAGTGGGCACAGGACAGGCAGGGCTGCACACGGGGCCCACTCCCGCCTGGGGCCTGACCACCTCTGGGCCCGCCGCCGCCTCCTCCCCGCTGCACAGCGCCTGCACTCATCAGAGGTCCTGCAGGCGCTGGCCGGATGCAGGAGCGCTACCCAACCCAGTCACCGCCTTAGCCTGGGACAGGGGCCAGGAGGAGCCCTGCTGGGCCCAGCGGTCACCTGCCAGTTGCCGGGCCAGGAAGGCCGGGTGTCCAGGAGGAGCAGCGGGGGAGGTGGGGGACACGTGGTGGGGGCTGGAGGAGCTCACGGAGCTACCCAGCTGCTTCTCAGCCCAGAACGAGTGAATGCAAGCCCTGCCCTCCATGGGACTGGCTTGGGGACACAGGGGACACGCATAAATGCTGCCTAGGGACCTGAGATTCCTGTGGCCCCACCAAGAGTCCAGGCCTCTGGTGGGAAGGCCCTTCCACCTGCCCCCACAGCCCCACCCTACGGGTGGGGGGCAGACACTCACCTGGTCCCCGGTCTCGTTGTATTCCTCGTCAAACCCACAGGCATCGAAATAATGAGGGAACGTCTCTGACCAGCCGTCTTCCGTGCAGTTCCGGCCTATCACCCGCATGCCTGCAGCGGAAGGGGAGCCCAGAGGCACAGAAGTGACTTAAAAAGCAGTCCCCAACATTCTTCTTCAAAAGTTACTTCACAGGTGGGGATGCCTGGAAGCCCACGTGCCCCTCTGGGAAGCGTGGCCCCTCAAGGCTCACCGACTGCTCCGCTGTCGCTGTCGGAGGGAAACCAGCCAGCGCTGAGGACCCCGAGCTCCGCCTTCACGGAGGACGTGGGGCAGGGGGAGGTGCAAGCTGACCTCTGAACTAGGGGCGAGAGGCCCAGCGGGGCTGAACCCAGCTTCCCCCTTTGTCTTGGAACTGGCCAGGGCTCCCTGGGAAAGGCCTGAGCCCCTCTCCTGGGCCCTGGGTCAGCACTTACCGAACTTCGCTGAGCGGAACCTCCAGCTCTCATTTGCCCCCCACCCCCCTGCCAGGGGTGCTGGTCCAGAAGCCACCTCAGGTGACCTAGGGGCGGGAGTCCCCTTCACACCCTGGGTGACACTTTCACTGGGAGCTCTGGGCCTGCCAGCAGCTGCAACAGTCCCGTCCCACACCGGTCCCATCCCACACCGAAGGGACACAGGGCTTCCTTAATTAACAAGAACCAGACCTCCATTAGCTTAGCACAAGATGTCATTAGGACATGCATTTAGGGTTTGTTTTGTTGTTGTTTTAAAGAACTTCTGCCTTCCCAGGTTTGGAGGTCTGTCTGTTTCCTGACACTAACGCACTTCAGTTTTCTTTGATCGACTTTAAAGGCCATGCTGGGGGCCCTGGAGGGGGCAGGAGGTCCCGGCTGGCAACACAGCAGGGGCCAGGCTGGCTGACGCCCAGCCCGGGGCTGTTTCAGCCTCGAACAACTCTCCCGATGCCTGTAGGGGGACCCACAGAGGTCCAGGGCTGCAGAGAAGGCCAGCAGCCCCCTTGGCCTCCAGGCCAGCCCCGGAAGGTGGCCCCAGACCCACCCTTGCTCCCATACTAGCTCCCTGGTAGTTCATTTGGTGGACTAGGACATAGGGGAACATAGGGGATGGTTCTTGCTGTCACAGGATTTTGTCACAAGTAAAGACACCTGCAGGAAAGGGGCTCCTGCACCCGTGCTACTGGAGGAACACCTGCTCTTTGGCCAAGGTCACCTCTGGGGAGCTCTAGAAGGAGCCAAGGGCAGAGGCCAAGACAGAAGAGCCCCCACCCCAAATCTGCCAGCCTCATGTCCTTCCCAGCCGAGTTGGAGGTTCTACAGCCAGCCTTTTCAGCCAACAGAGCCAGAAATGCAGATTCTGGACTCCGGGGAGCAACAGAGGGCGGTGGCCCTGCCATAAAGACAGCTCTGCCCAGAGTGGAGTGGCTGCTGGGACTCTGAGCCCTGGGACACAGGACAAGGAGAGAGGGAGCCACTTCTGCCTCACAGCTCCACGCCAACTGGTCCCGCTTCTGGCAGCTCTGTCAGGCTGTGACTGGCGAGCTCCTTCCACGTCCCTGTGAGCCCTTCTTTCAGAGAGTCCGCATGTCCCAGGGGACCGTGGCCTTGACCCTTCCCTCCCTTTGTCCACATCAGGGTGGTGGGAAGAGGCAAGGGAAGCTGCTTTGAAAACCAGTTTTTTAAAGTGCCCCAGAGGTAGGCATCATTCCCTTTCTCCTGTTCTCCTTCTCGCTCTTTTTCTTTCTATAGTACAGCGTGGGCTCAGACAAGCAGGAGCCTTTTTGCTCAGAGCCCGGCCATGAGCTGGCCAAACAATTGCGCTAGTGCTCTCCAGGCCGTCAGGACCCCACAGTGATTGCACCAGGCCCTTCCTCCCCGCCACCCTCACGGGAGCACCGGGTGCCAGGGCAGGGTTCTCAAAGTGGGTGCCCTCCCCAGACCAGCCCATCGGCACCCCCCGGGACACTGGCTAGAAATACATGTTCTCAGGCCCCACCCCAGGCCTACTCAATTAGAGACCCTGGGCAGGGGGCCCAGGAATATCAGTTTTAACAAGCCCACTGGGACATCATGAGCACAATTCAAGTATGAGAATCACATATGAGCTCAAAGTTTTCAGGGGCTGCTGATCCAGTGGTCTTTAAAAAAAAAAGGTTTTATTTAGTTTTAGAGAGGGGAAGGGAGGAAGAGGAACATCAATGTGTGGTTGCCTCTAGCACACCACATACTGGGGACCTGGCCCACAACCAGGCATGTGCCCTGACTGGGAATCGAACCGGCGACCCTTTGATTCTCAGGCCAGAGCTCAATCCACGGAGCCACACCAGCCAGGGCTGATCCAGGGCTCTTTATTTGGGGCCCACTGTGGGGCTTTGAGAGATCTGCGTGCCCATGAAACTGTCTGGGCACATGAGTGCCAGTTTCCATGGAGAAGATCCACAGCTTCATCAGAGAAGGATGGGGACCTGGCAAAGGCCACACAGCCACAGAGGCACTGCCCAGGCTCACACGCCAGCAGCAGATGCCGCCCCGCTCCAGCCAGCCCATGGTGCACACCCACTCACCTGAGAGATTCAAGGAGTTGATGTCTGCGAAATCAAGGTCTCCTGCAAAACAGAGACATGGGCATGAGTCAGAACACCGGCCGCCCGCCCGCCCGCCCACGTGCCGGGGCTGGACGCTGCTGGCTCTCTGGGCTGGGGGGCCGAGGCTGCCCCCAGTCGGGAGGGTGAGGGGTGGGGTCTCGGCCAAGAGGCGGCCTAGCAACGGCAGCCTCACCTTTCCGACACACTGCACATCCTAACATCAGTCTCATTTGCTTTGTATTTCTGTGCTGCCGAAGATGCCGATGACTCAGTTCCCCCCGCCCCGGACCACAGGAAGTGGAAATGGGACATGGTCCGGATGATGAGAGGGCCTCCTCCAGAGCAGAGTGGGAGAGGGAGGACAAAGGATGACGGGGCCTTTTCAAGGGCAAGGCGGGGAACAGCCGCCCAAGTCCTGGGCTTCGTGCTTCCTCTTCAGGGCCCCCCCCACACACACACAAACTGCTCCCATCAAAGGGAACGTAGAACTCCGAAGACTTCCTCCTCAGACCTTTGTCTCTTTCTCTCCTGACTCTTTATTCCCACCTCCACCCGTGCCGACGCCCCTATTAGCACTGAACCTCCATGTCCCCTCTACGTTCTCAAATCCTGTTTCCAAGGTCCAGCAGACATGCCACCTCCTCCAGGAAGCCTCCCTGGACCTTTACATGACTCTGCCTGCATGCTGCGTCCTTAGGTCTCTTCTGTCGGCATGCCTGCTGAATGCTCCCCCTCTGCAGCCACTTGGGGAGACTGGCATCTGCGCAGGCTCACACACACGCTCGGGCCTGCACTTATGCGTTTCATGGGCTTGTTTTCTAACCCCTCCGGGGCTGGGTCTCGTCCTCCCAAAGAAGCCCACGAGCAGCGAGGCCAAGGGCTGCACCTTCCATCTTCCTGTGCACCCTGTTCTAGAATAGTCTAGGGGGAGGAGGGAAGAAGGAGGAGGGGAGACCCTGGTCCCTGGTAAGCCTTCCACTCCACCCCCACCCATTCCCAACAGCCAGAGTTGGGCTCCAGCTGGATGGACAGGTGGACAGGTGACCAGTAGTCGGTTCTCCCCAGGACTCCTCTTACCGATGGTTTCCGTCTCCCAGACTGAAAGAGAGAGAGAGAGAGAGAGCACACAGAGGTGAGTGAGGGCTGAAGTGGGGTCTGCTCCTCCCCCTCCCCCTTCCCCACCCTACCCCCAAACTCCGGAGAGAGGTTCTGCCGGGGGCCCTGAGCCATAAGGACTACTGGCAGGGCCAGTCGCTGGAGACTCCCCGCTCTCCCTCTACGACAGTGAGGGAGAGGGAAGTGAGCGAGGCGGCTGAGAGGAGGTGAGTCTGCTGCACCCCCAGAGCCCGCAGAGCAGCAGCTACCACAGTGAGCGCCGCCAGGTCTCCCCTGGGCACCCGGGGGTGGTGCACAGAGAAATGCCATCTGCGCTTTCCGAGCATTCAAGGTGAGTCTCCCGGGTCCAGCTTTGGGGATGGAGACGCTGAAAGGCCCGGCCTCAGTGAGCCCCTGAGCCTCAGGTGTCCAGGGCACACTGACCACGCAAGTGCCAGGGCGGGCTGGAGTCGGAAGGAGAGTCTGTCCTGAGAAAAGGGCATTTCACTGCTGACTCATTTTGCCTTTGGATGTTATTGTTGTTGAAAAGAAGCAGTCTCGCCACGGTACCTGACCCAGAGTAGATGCTCGACAAACTTTAAATGGATGAATGAATGAGCGAATGAATGGGAGGAGTCCGTGAGTGCGGGGTGGCGGGGGTGGTGACTGACCTGGTTTCCACAGAAGTGACTTAGGCTGCGTCAGGGGCCGCCCCGGCCCGGCGTCGCCCCACTCACACTGCCCTCCCCTCCACTGTCTCCTCTTTCAACAGCCACGTCCTGTCCTGTTCTAGGCAGGGTGTGGTCACGTCCAGTCCCCCCCGTTGTCAGGATGGGGGAGTGCGACTGCTGGCGGGAGGTGTGGAGGCGGGAGGTATGGCCCACAGCGGGGAGGGGAGGTGGGGGGGCGGGGGGGCATTGCAGCCATACCCTGCCTTCTCTGGTCTTGGGATGCACGCCATGTGTGAGAGCCCAGCCTTGCCCCACCCACGACACTGTGTCCCCACGTGGACCTGGGAGCCAGGTCTGAGAGGAACCTCCGTGTTCCTGTGAGCAGGAGGTCTGTGGTTTCCCCCCGACCACCCCAAATGTGAGCGCTATGGCAGGGGTTGTCTACCTGCCTGCGGGGCGCCCCATGTCCCTGGAGCTTGTGCCCCAGGAGGGTCTGGGGCCCAGGCGTGGGGAGTGGGCTGGGCTGAGTGTGGCGGGAAGAGGCCCCAGGGAAACCCACCTTGGTCTGGATAGATGATCTGGAAGACCTTGGGGCAGGTGATGAAGACCATCTCGCCCACCTGGGCGTGCTTCCAACACGTGATGTTGTCCCATATCCCGGGGCAACCTGTGGGGGAGCAAGCCACGTGAGCCAGGCCCTCGCCATGAGCACCTGTCACGGTCTTGTCACCCCAGTCCCCTAACAGGGTCCCTAAGTCCTGACACCATGGGCGTAGGGGAGGCAATGAGTTCACGAGGAGTTCTTGAGGAGGGAACCCTGCAGACCCCCTGTGTACGGGTGGGCAGAAGAGCCGCCTGCGGCAGAATCAGAGGAGGTGGCGGGGGAAGGGACAGGTGCAGAGCACAGACTGCCGGGACAGGGCGTGCCCGCTGCCGAGGGGCCTGCAAACAGGGGCTGCGGAGAGGGCCGCACTGCCAGATGAGGGACAGCCGGAGGCGGGTGAGCAACAGTGTCCCACCTCCCGGGGCTGCCGTGAACAGTAGTGAGCTCACACCTGTAACACGCCCAGCAGAGCGCCCGGCTCACTCAACGAACACGCCCTACGCTGTTACCATTAATCTCATGATGTCAACTGGGTGCCCCTGGAAACCACTGCCCTGAGAGGCCGGGGCAGGGAGAAGGATGGAGCCCCGCAAGAATGGCCAGCAGAGGGCCGCCAGCTGGTCGCAGGGTGGGTGCCAGGCAGGGAGGGGCCCGGGGCGGGCCTCACGAGCTCCAGGCCTCTCTGTGGGTTCCCTGGCCGACCGGCTTGTGGGCGCCATGTGGACGTGGGGTGGTCTGCCTCTCTGAACTGGGACCTGGCTGTTCTGGGATTCACACCCAGTCACAGTAGCCCACAGGACCCCCTTCCCGGGGTGTCCAGGTTTGGGAGCCCGAAGCGCCACAGAGAGCTCTGAGGATGACAGACCAGGACGGCAAGGACACTGGGGGCCATGTGAGACCGCATGAGCTGTGTCCCGGGTCTCACAGCTACAGGCCGGTCATTGACCGTCCTACCCACCCCCACCCAGCAGGACTCCAGCCAGCCCACGCCTGACTGTGACATCAGGCCCTCGAAGGGGACCCAGCAACACGTCGGCCTGTGCTGACCGTGGAACGGCCAGGGAGCGTGGTCACGTCTGGCCCACGTCCCAGGAGCCCTGCTGACAGATGTTCCCTTAACGTGGAAGCTCGGGCCCTGGCACAGCAGCTGCTGCTGCCAGCTGACGTCCCCGAGGTCCCCGAGGCACGCCAGGTGGAGGCGAGCCGTCACGAGCCCTGAGCGGCAGGGAGGGGCGCAGGGCTCAGGCAGGATGGCACAAGGAAGAGGGGCTCCCAGGGTGGAGGTCCCAGGCCTGGGGGCAGGGCGGGGGAGTCATTCTCGTAATAACCCTTTCCGGAGCCCCCGCCACAGGCTGGCACCCATAGGCCCAGGGCTACGGGGGCAGACAAAATGCATCTGAGAAGTCTGCATTTGGGGGCGAGGGAGGGAGGGAAGGGGCAGGGTGTCCCCTCAGCTCCCACACGCATGGCGCCACGAGACTGGAGCTTTGGCTGCTTCTGCCAAGGGCTCACTGCATGACTCTGGCGAGCCTCTACCCCCTGCCCCCTGACTCAGTTTCCCTGTGTGCACACTGAAGGCTGGGTATCTCAGGGTGTCCCCGAGTCTGAGTGACGAGAGCTCACATCAGGAGCAGAGGTTCACGGGGGCCTTGCCAATGCCCAGAAGGATGGCCAGGGGGCTGGGGCGGCCTTCCCTGGCCCCACAGCCAGGACAAACATCCCCCAAGGGGCGTCTGCCAAGGCTTCACACAGGCAGTCAGGTAGCGGTGTGGAGTGCAGAGGGGAAGTCAGAGCTGGAGAAGGGGCAGGGAGTGGTCAGCGCAGGGGTGCTAGGGAGGGCCGTGGGGCCGGGTGAAGTGTGGCATGAGAAGGCACGGGCGTGAGAAGGAGGGAGGAGAGGGCCTGGCCCCGACAGGAGAAGGAGCGCCAACACCAGAAGAGGAGCTGGCGGAGGAGACTGAGGAGGGGTGGCCAGACACCCAAGGAAAACGGGGAGAGGTTAGTGGCGCAGCAGCCAAGAACACACATGTTTCAAGTGGGACGCGGTCATGTGCGTCAGACACTGCTGAGAGGCTGTGAAAGTCACCCCCCCACACTCCCCGACCTTCTTGCCCCTGCAGAGGAGGTGGGAAGTCAGAACAGCTCCCAGTGCCTGGAAGAACTCGCCACTCGGACACCCCAAGCCTCCCTGTTCACCTCTCCGGTTCCACACTAAGTCTGCCAGTGCCCTGCTGGCTCTGCCCACCCCTTGCCACGAACCCGCTGTGGAACTTGGTCAGAGGAGTTCCGGTCGGAGGAGGTGGGGGAGACGCCTGCTTGGTGGGCAGCTCCCGCTAAGACATCCACACAAAGCAGCCGAAGAGGTCGCGCCTGATAAAAGCGGGAGGAAAGACCGTTTGGGCGGGCAGAACAGAGAGGACGCAAGAGCCATTAGCCTGGACTGGAACAAAATAAGGCACTAATCTCAGGTTGTCATGGTGACGATTCCGTCCAGTGCCACGCTGTGTTCAAAACCCGTGAGACCAGAGGCACCGAAGGGACTCAGACAAGGGCGCAGTCATCCCTGTGAGAAGCCACCCGAGGATGCTTGGGTGTTGTCAGAACGAGCCCCTTGTGGCAGTGTAAAGTTCAAGGGCAAAAAATGATTTCAATTTACCGAAAGTGACTTCACAGTCGATGCTTCTGATCGGTGAAGTGCGGGCGAGCTGTGAGCGCAGGGTGGGGGTGAGCGGGGGACTCAGGATGCAGCCCCCCCTCGAGGTCAGTGGTTCACAAACGAAGGGTCCAGCCCAGCAGGCGGGGCCCGTGACCTGCGCCGGTCTGGGACCCCCAGGAGTGGAGACGCAGGTTCCCACGCACAGGAGCCCTTTCCCCTCCTCTCTGGCACGAGAGCGCGGCAGCACAAAGGGCGCCCCCGGCTGAGGCCGCAGACCTGGGGCCTGTCCCAGAGCTGGCTCGGGCGCCCTGGTCTCAGCCTCGCCGTGTCATGTGACAGAGCTGGCCTCAGCCTTGACTCCAGTCCCATTTAGCGCTCAGGGGTTTTGAAATGAGGAATCACCGAATACAACTCCTCAATAACGGTCCCAGTAAACACCTTCAAAACGTGCCAAGGATGCTGCGGACACAGGCACCGAGCCAGAAAGCTTGCCTCCTGTCTCCGGGACCTCGCCAGAATTCTCCGCCTCCCTCACCTGCCTGTGCAGCTCCCCTGCCGTCCCCAGCGTGACCCTGTGCCTCGGCTGCCACTCTGAAGGACACTATGCACACCACCACCCAATGTTCTCTGGGGGGTGGAGCCTGGCACCAGGGAGGGGCAGGGATTTAAGGGGCACAGGGACCTTCTTGGGGCCCCCCAACTCTACCCAGTCCCACACTCCTCACCTCTGCCAGATCAGCATCCTCACCCCAATCAACGCCCTCACGTTATTGTACTTAAAAGGAACACGTACACATAAATACATTAGGAATACACAAAAGCCCTCGCCATCGCTGGAATGCGCTGACAGATTTTCGTGTTTCATTTTCAGGTGTGTTTCAGGGAAGCTGGCTGACCCGGGGCCAGTGTGCGGTGCACAGCGTGTGTGCTTGGGGACAGAAGGGACAGGGGAGATGCAGGGAGGGGGGACAGCAGGAGGGCCGGCCTCTCTCGGTTCACCCAGGCACAGATTAGTAACATAACGCACACCTGCTGGTTCTGGTTACACTCACATCGAACTGTGTTTAAGCAGAATACCTAACCTGCCCGTGCCTCTGTGTCCTCGCCTACAACACCGGGCTGATGATAGAACCCGCCCCCTAGTGGTTGCCGTAGGAGCTGGTATAGGGCTGGGCAGATGGTAAATCCACGTAACTACGGGCCATCCCATGACCCATCCTGCCTCCTCGTTTCATAGCAGAGATTCTGAGGCACAGAGCAGGACAGGGCCGTGGAGGTGGTGGTCCACCTGGGCCCACAGTCTCCTCTCTTTCTCCACCTGACGGCTGTCTCTTTTGACTGTGCTAAATGAGGTCTTAGCTTTGTCCTACTGAGTCCATTCCTGTGACTCGGGCAGAGGTGGACAGACCGTGGGAAGGTGCCGCCTCCACCCTCCCCTGCGCACTCAGGGTTAGAGGACGGATATCCCCTTGCCTCCAGGAGACTCCTTCCCGCCCTGCCTTCCGCCATGCCCAGCTTGGATGCCCCTTCCTCCTTGAAGCCCTCCCTGACCCACCACCTACACTCCCCCCGCCCAGCAGGAAGGTCTCTCTCCCTCCACTGAATCCCACGGCACCAGCTGCTCCTCCCGGCTCTGACACGCGCCCTTGAGCTGCGGTGAGCCCTGGCCTGCCCTTCCTGGGAGGGGGTGCCCCCTCCCCTCTGTCTCACGTGAGCGTCTGCCAGGACAGCCCTGTGGGCCCTCCTCCTCGTCCTCTTCCAGCCCAGGGCTCCCCAAACACCTGTGCAGCAACCCACCTCTGCCTCTCCCCTTCCTTTCTGGACGCTTCTTCCTGCCCCGCCCCCAGTGCACCTGGCACCTGTGCTGCGGGCTCAGTGGTCCTGGGCTAGGAGGCAGGACACCCGGGTTCCAGGTCCACCTCAGGGCCCCCCACTTTCCCACCTCCTAGACCCGTGCCCTGGACCAGATTTGGGCCCCCCGCCTCAGGGCCCCTGGCTGGGGTGGCCTAGAGTCCACGCTCAGCCCCGGTGAGGGCTGAGCCGGAGCTCGGCAGGAGGGCAGGGCCGGCAGCGGCTCCATTACCAGTTAATGTTCACTGACTGGCCGGGGAGCTCGGCCTGGAGGGACCGTTACACATAACTGGGCTGCAGATTAATCGAGTATTTAAACAGACAGTGCCCAGAAGAACTCCCTGTAAATGGGGAGGTTCCGGAGGGAAGAGTGGATCCTTCCAGTCTGGGCAGAGAGGGCCCCCTGCAACAACTGGGGTGTGAGTGAGGCTGGCGAGCCCCCCGGGATGCCCCCAGCCCCTCAGCTCCCCACACCGCCCCTCGGGGAGTCGGGCAGTCAAGGGTGCCCTCGCTCTGGGCCTCAGCGTCCCATCTGTGCAGAGAGGGTGTTAGGAGCAGGGGGTCACATAGGAGCCCTGGTTCCCAGCCAGGGGCCATGCCCCCACCTGGGGACATCTGGAAATGCTGTGAGGCATTCAGGGCTGTCACTGGGGCCAGGGGGGTCACGGGCGTCCAGTGAGGAGAACTGAGGCTGCTCGAAGGCTTGCAGTGCCCCTCCCGAGGAGGAGGTGGGACCCCTTCCTGGGCCACCGGCGGCCCCAGGGGAAGCGCTGCCCAGACAGGCCAAGGACCGGGGTGCCCGCTGCTGCCTCATTCCCAGGCTTCCGATGGAGTGAACAGAGCAGTGGGGAAGAGCCCCCCACCTCCGGCCTTGGTGGCCCAGGTGCTCTCCCGTTCGGGCACCGGCAACAGCTGCGTCCCTGCTGCCACCAGGCCCGGGCTGCCTGCTAACGAGCTCTCTGACAGCCACGGCCCAGCCCAGACTCCAGCTCCGCCCCAGCCGCAGGACCAAAGGCAGCCCCATGCAGCCACCCGGAACAGCCCTTCCCAGAGTGGGCCACGCAGGGCAGGCCCGTCCCCAAGGACAGCAGCACCAGTGCGACCTAGGGCTTTTCCACCTGGAAGGGCTCTCTAAGGACCCGGAGGCCCGTGCCCTCCACCTTTCTTTACAAGGTGGCCAGAGGCTGAATTGCCAGTTCTAAAGGCTGGCCTGCATGTGCTGGGGACCATGCCCCCCCGCCACTCGCCCACACCCTACTCACCTGGGGAGGAGTCGTTCAAGCCCAGCTGTTCCTTCTCCCTCTGGATCTTCTCCAGACACATGGCTTTCTCCTCCTTCAGGATGCAGTTGAAGTGCATGGCAGTGGTCTGCAGGGCACAGGCGACAGACACATGGGCTGGGTGGGGGGGAGCAGGGAGGGTCATCTGGAAGCACTGCTCCCTCAGCCCCGGGGTGGAGTGGGGGAGGGGGCAGGGCAGGCGGGGGCCCTGACAGCCGCTCTGTCACACACCTCTGAGCGCTCTTCTTTCCCAACTCAGCGTGTGACCTTGGGCGGATCCCCCCCCATCCCTGGCTCTCAGTTTCCGTGTCTTCTAAAAATCATAGCAAACGCCATATAGCACTTTTTTTACCACCTGCATACATGTAGTAAATACTCTTTTTATCATCTCTCAGTTTGCAGATGTGGAACTGAAGCCCAGAGACATTATGTAACTTGCTCAAAGTCACACGGCTTAGCCGACTGTACAGCCAGGATCGGAACCCCGGCAGTCTGGTTCCAGAGACCACGAGGCGACTACTGCCCTTTAGGGGAGCACAGAGCACGGAGCCGAGGGGTGGGAGGAGGGGCTCCCGTGAAAGGCGGGGACGGAGGAGCAGCGGCAGCATTCAGCGGCCCCAGGAACCGCTCTCACTTACTCTCGCCCCATTTCACAGAAGAGGACACCGAGGCTCAGAGAAGTTAAGAAACTCCCGCCCAGGGTCCCACGGCTGGTTAGTGGCGGATGCCGGATTCAAGCGCGGGACCACTGCGATCACAGCCTAACGCACAGCTCGGGGGCAGCAGTGGCTCCGTAAGCGCATCGCAGCGAGCACAGAGGCGGCTGAGCTGCCAAGGGCAGCATGCAGTGCAGCCCCGCCTCCCCGGGCCTCGGTATTCCATCCGCACAGCGAGGGAGTTGGGGGAGGGGGGCCACCACGCAGGAGCCCTGGTTCCCAGCCAGAGGCCACACCACTGCCTGGGGACATTTGGAAATGTTGCAAGGCATTCGGGGTTATCACTGGGACCAGGGGACTCACGGGCGTCCGTCCAATGGGGAGAACTGAGGCTTCCAGGGACAGTGAGGGGCCATGGTCACACACTGAGGCCGGGCAGAGGCCGGACCCAGACCCTGGGCTCTCAGGAGGGCCCCATCCATGGCTGGTCTGAATTCCCGGCCCTGGGATCCCTCCCTGCTGCCCTCACTCTAGGAAGGACACAGCAAAGAGCCGGCTGCTGGCAGAGACGTACGGGCAGCGGCCTGGGATCCGCAGCGCCCTCTGCAGCCCTGGCCAGGGCCCCTGACCCGGACGTGTGCTGCACAGCAACAAAGGTTGCCACCCACGGTGCCATCAGCACAGATTTGCAAACTGTGTAACAATTCCTGCTCAAGTCAGCTGAGGATCTGGAGGATGGGCCCCCTTCCTAACTCGCGCAAAGGTCCTGGATGGCCCAGCCAGGGTGGGGGCTCCGGCTGGCGGTGAAGGGGACAGTCCCGGGTCCTTACCATCGGCAGCAGAAGAAGGGCGGCCAGGGAGGCCTGCATGACGTTGGCCTGGACGCTTCTCAGCCGGAACAGAGGCTCAGGCCAGCCCCGCTCGCCTCCCACTCAGAGCAGCCGCCGGTCAGCCCCGAGGTGGCTAGGGCTAGAGAGAAAGGGAAGGCCTGAGTCCTGCAGGCCCCGTGGCAGAGGAGGGGCAGGGACGGCCTGGCCCTGCCCAGGACACCTCCTCCCCTACCGGTGGCAGGGCCCCGAACCTCCACAGGGAGCCCCTTCTGCCCCTCCTGTTCGAGCTGCCTTCTGCTCTGCCCCACTAACATCTGCTGCACGCCTGCTCAGTGAGTGCTGGGCACAGGGGCGCATGGGCTCCTGGGGCCCCCGCTGGACTCCTGGGGCGCTCCAATGGCTTTCTGCTCTGCGGCAGCCAACTGTATCCCCCAGTGTGTCTGCACCACCCGTTTTTGCTGTCCCATGCATGCCCACTCAGAGACGGCATTTCCTTGAACCCCATGCTCTCAAGGGAGGGCATGTGATGAAGTTCCCACCTATGGGATGGGGGTGGCAGTGACAGGGGCCACTTGTCCATCAGCACCACGTGCTGTCCACTTCCGCTCCTGCGCCCTTCCCCAATGCCAGACCCGACCCGGCTCTGACAGGGCGGCAAAGATAGCACCTGAGGGGTGGGGAGCGACACGCCGAAAGGAACCAGCGTGCCTGGGGGAGCTGGGGGAGCTCAGGGAGCCGGGCCACCCGCAGGCTCCGGAGTGCTGCGTGCGAAAGAACCACACTTCTAACTCTCTCCGTCGTAAAGGGCTGCTTTGCTCCAGCTTCCAGAGCCTGGGCCCCTCGCAAGCATCGCCCCCTTCGCCCTGCCTCAGCCCACTGGGCCTCCAGCACAAAGCCTGCCCCTCCGCGGCACACAGAGCAAAGCAGCTGCCGAAGGGCGAGTGGCAACCTCCGAGCGGCAGGGGCTCCGGGCCCTGCAGGACCGAGGCCACCAGTCACCGAGGTCACCGAGGATGACAGGGCGTGCGTGGGGAGGCGGGGGGGAGGAGGTGGTGGGGGTCCCAACCCGTCCCCAGGGGATGAGTCTGGTCTGCTTCTGGAGGCGATCGCCAAAGCACATTGGCGCCGCCCGACATTCCCGCATCTGGATTTGCAGCCGTGCAGAGGCACCCTCACGGAGCAGAAAGCAGAGCTGTGGGCAGACGCAAAACTGCACCACGACTCAGGGCTTCCGGTGCGTTCATCAGCCGGTGGACACACGTAGTGACAGGCACACTCACACACACACTCCTGGGCAAAGGCACTCGGCGGCACAGAGGCAGTGAGATCCGTCCGGATTCAGGCGCAGGCGTGGGGACGCCCACAGGCACACGCACACCTGTGCACATGCACACACACGTGCTCACGGGGGAGGGCCAGACGGGCAGGTGCTCATCGCTCTCTCTGGCAGCTCAGCTCCTCGGTCGCCGCTGCACTGGACTGAACACACGCCAGCGCAGGGGCCTCAGCCTAACCATCCATCCCCCCGCTCCCTGCCTTGTCCCCCGGCCGCTTAGGCAGTGAGGGGAGAGCCAGGAGCCAGGTGTGGCCCCAGCCCGGGGACACAGGGTGGACCGGATGGGGGGCTCTCAACACGCGCCTCCTAGGGAACTGCACCTGAGGTTCTTGATTCCCACCGGTGCCTCCTCTCGCTTTTGCTGAGATATAATTTACACACAGCATTACACTCATTTCGAGTGTGCACCACAATGGTTCCATATCTGTATATTGCAAAATGACCGCCAGTGTGAGAAGTCTGGTTGACATCCAGCACCACAGTCACAAATCTCTTTCTCTCGTGATGAGAGCTTTTAAGACCTACTCTCTTGCTGACTGCTGTCCTCTCCTGTTCACCCACCCCCACGACAGTCCTCCCCCTGGCCCAACCGGACACAGACACAGCAGCGAAAGAGACCCTGGAAGCTCCCAAGGCCTGGCGCTCCCACTCCCCCACCTGAGCTGGGGACCTCAGGGGTCATGTCCTGCAGCCTCTCCAAGAGGGTGACCTCCTCGGCCCCTCCTGGCACCCTCACTGGGCAGTGCTCAGAGTTTACAGTGTTAGGCCGTCTGCCCCACACCTGGTCCCCCCCGAGGCCACGTGAATGCATCCCCTGGGTCTGCCCCCACAGCCCCGTCAGCTGCTGCTGCTTCTCATCCTCGCTGCCTCCCCCAGGCTGCCGTGCCCCTCTGGCGGGACACGGCCTGGCTCCTGCACCCTGGGATGGGGCCCTCCCTTCCTTGAGGATGGACACTGGGCCACTTTGGCCCAGACGCACAAGTGGCTCAGTGTGACCTGGTCCCCGATCGTCCCAGGCGTGTGCGCGAGCTCTCTCTCTCTCTCTCTCTCTCTCTCTCTCTCTCTCTCTCTCTCTCTCTCGGGTCCAGGCTCTGCTGGGGCAATTTTGCAGCTATACCGTATCTCCTAACATTCATTGTGGTGGATTTATGGCCCATTTTGCTGGAGTTTCTAGCCTTAGGGCCTTGAGCAAGCTACTTGCCTCTTCCGTGCTTCAGTTCGATTAGCTGTTAAATGGGGTAGGAGGAACACCAACCTCACAGACATCCCTGGGGGGCACCGAGGACCTCATGTAAGTAAAACTGTGGAGGCCGCAGAGCAGCCCGGCCCCCGGTCAGGGCTGCGCGTACATCAGCTCTTTTTATTGCGATCTCACCACTGGTGTGCAGAGTTTTGCACCGCCTTGCTGTCACCTCTATCCCCACAGCCCCGTGTCACATTCAGAACGAGGACAGCAGGCCAGATGCACCTTTCTTTCCTAATGACTAACATTTATTAAACACTCAGTATGTGTCAGGCACACGTCCAAGCAATAAATATGCATTAACTGGTTTCACCTGCCCAGCGCTATGAAGTCGTTACTAGCACCATCCTCACTCTACAGCTGAGGTGACTGCGGCACAGAGAGGCTAAGCCACTTCCCCAGGTTCACACAGCAAATACGTGGTAGAGCTGGGAAGTGAACTCGAAACGTCTGGCGCCAAAGCTCATGCCCTCCTTCCCTACGTTCCTGCTGGCCTCTGTTACTGCTGAAAGGAAGCTCAGCTCAGAACCCACCGACACCCCATCAGTGACCCCTCTCCTCCGCTGGGAGACTGCTCAGGCCTTCCGCTGTAGCTTCTCTGTCTGGAGAATGCTCCTTAGAAAGATGTCACTGGAAACTCGGACTCTGAGTCCTGAAACGGACTTTAAAGACCACATCCCTGTGGTGCTGAGTTACCTGTGGGGAAGCCGAGACTGGAGAGGGGACAACCCTTCCCAAGGTCACACAGGGGAGGGTCGTGGGCCCCTGCCCGGCAGGCATTGAAGTGTACTGATACCTGAGCTGGAGGGGAGTCTGCCTCCCCCACTCCAGATTCAGGGAGGCCGGTCCTCCTCAGGCCCCATCAGCCCAGTGACAAATCAGGATGGGGAGCTGACAGGAGCAGCCAAGTGTCACCCCCCCCCCACACTGCCCCTGCCCCATGAGCCACTGGGCAGGCACGCAGGAAGACAGCATCACTCATCAGCATAGCAGAGCCAGCAGTGACTCACCGGGCTCCGGGGACTCCGAGACCCTCCAGACATCCCTGCACTGCCCCACACCCTGCAGGACCCTTGCTACACAGCAGCCCCGAGGAAGATGGCCTGGCCCCTCAAATGGGGCGTTCACCCCTCTCTAGGGGCTGGCCCAGCACCCCCTAGACCCCCCCACCAGGTGAAAGCTCCAATATCTTCCCACCGGAACTTTTTCCAGGCCACCCTTTGCCTCACAGAAGCGCCCACAGTGGGAAGGCAGCATCTCACCTTCCCTTTTCCCTGGGACACACAGCCCTGGGTCCCTCTCCGGCTCCCACGGCACTGGGGCCGTCTGGGCTACCTCCGCCGGGACGCCTCTGGCTGTTCAGCATCCCTCCCTGTCACCAGGCAGGGCCGAGCCGGACACCAGGCGGGCGAGGACCCAGGAGGAGTGCCTCCTGGCCGCCCTCACTCTCCACGCACTCCCTCTAGTAAGAAAACCGGGCAGGCCAGTCCCCCCAGTTCCTCCCCTCCCTCCCAGTGCGGGGAGCCAGGGGTGCAGCTGCACGATGCAACACTGCCCACGTCCCCCTCAAAGGCAGGGCACTGCACTTGCCTCTGGGGAGGACGGGGGGCCCCTCCAGAACCTCTTTCCTCCTCCAAAAGGTCAGGGCTGAGAGAGGGCAGAGCCCACCCCCCGGGGTGAGGGGCATCTTCGCAGTCACGGAGTTCACCGTCAACACGGATACTCCTCTTTAGTGTTCCCACCTTCCCCTTTCAGAGCACGGCCACCGGGGTCCTGTGTCCCGCCGCAGGTGACAGAAGCCAGGTGCCTGGAAGGGACCCCGGACGTGACCTCACCCAAGTCCTGCATCTGACGTGGGGGAGCCGGGCTCGGGCAGGGAAGGACCAGGCGCAGCCCACGGGTAAGGGTCCAGGTCCTTTCCTGAGGTCGTGTTGACGAGCCTGTCCCCCGCTCTGAGAGGTCCTGGGTGGCCTCTGCCAGGGAGAGCCCCCCTGGGGACCAGGCGAAAGAGAAGAAGAGGGAAGGGGGGGGAGGAGGTGGCAGGAGATGAATGAAAAGGAGGGGAAGGAGGGAGGTGGGGAGGGATGTGAGGGCAGGCAGATGAAGAAGGTGCAGAGGGAGGGGCGAGAGGGAGGGAGCAGGAAGCCAGATGCCCGCCTGGGGCAGGGGCTCCTTTGCTGCTGCTCACTGCGCGCTGCCTGGCTTGGGGGGGGGGGGGGGCAGCTCTGCAAGGGAGGGCCAGCTGCATGGCCCCAGCACCGGGGGCAGGCAGGGCACGTCTCGGGGAGCTTGCGGGGGGCTCTGGGGGCAGAACACTGTTGAGTGCTTGGTGGATGGGTTTGGAACGGTGACTTGGGGGTGTGGAGGGGCACGGTGAGCTATCAGGGGCGGGAGGGACCAGAGGGCGGAAGACCACCAGTGCCAGGGCCACCCCAGCCTCGCTCCACTCCAGCAGGGAGGGTTTGAAGCAGCGGAGGAAGGGGGCAAGCTCCCCGTTTAGGGAATATTCCTCGGAAGGCTGGGGAGCTCAGGGGGAGAGCAACGTGCAGGCAGAACCCACGCTGAGGCCGTTTTCTGGATTCAGGGCGGCAACGGGAGCCCGGGGAGGAAGGGCAGCTGGAATGGGAAGGCAGAGGTGGGACCCAGAGACACGGGAGAAGAGGGGAGGAAAGTCTCTCCATCCTGCCCCCAAGGAAAAGGCAGGACGGAAATGGCAGGAGGTGACAGAAAGGATAGAAAGAAGCTCGCGGCAGGACCCAGCTCAGCAAACAGCCTTACATTAGAAGCTGGGAAATGTGGAGGTATCCACAAAGGAGGCAGGCAGGAAAGGTGAGAACAGTTAGGGCAAGGCATGGAGCTGAAATGGGGGTGTCCCAGTAGTTCTTAAAGCCAACCCAGCCTCCTACCACCACCTCCGGGAAGCCCACCTTGGCTGTACCCGCCTCCACTGACATCACCCTCTTCTACAAACCACCAGTCCTACAGAGAAGTCCCTCACTCCTGCTGGGGACGTTGAAGGTCTCACCCTGCTCATTGTGAGTTTCAGTCTCCTCTGGAAACAAGGGGTGTGTCTAGGTCTCCCCTGGTGGCGGTGGGCACAGACCTGGACACAGAGGGTGAATGGAAAAGGAGGCTCCAGTGCATTCAAGCAATGTGATGTGGTTTTGTTTTCGGTCATGAGTGTGGTCTCCAGGTGTCCTTCGAGTGAGAGATGTGTCACATGGACAGAACAAAGGCCTGTCGGGGGGGGCCTGGCACTGACCCATCAAACAGAGGGGCACGCGGGGCCGCAGGCAGAGTAGAGGATGGCACCCCCGCCCCGGGGGCAGCCCGAGCTCTTAGCACCCCGCCCCTCCACTCTTCAGCCTCTCAATCCACCCCTCACCTTCCAGCCCAGGTCTTGGCAAATGGCTCCGGCCCATCGGGTCCAGCCTATCACCTATTTTTGGACAGCCAGTGAGCCAAGAATGGATTTTTTTCATTTCTAAATGGCCAGGGGAAAAAAAAATGAAAGACTCCTCTTTCATGACACATGAAAACTGTGTGAAATCCAAGTCTCGGCATCCATAAATAAAGCTCATCAGCACACAGTTGTGCCTGCTCGTCTCCCCGTCATCTGCGGTTGCTTTCACGCGGCGGCGGCGGTGGCAGAACGGAGTAGCTGCAACCGTGTGTGGTCGGTCAGCAGCGCCTCAAGCACTGCCGATCGGGCCCTCTGCAGAGCGCCCGCCAGCCCTTGCCCCGGTCCCAGGCCGCGCACACGAACTTCCCGCACTCGATTCAACGGTTCATTAAGGAGGACTCCGGTGACTTTCCCGGGACAAACATCTGAGTCCCAGATCTGTGTGAGGACGTGTGTCCCAGTGTCTGTGGGTCTTTCTGCTGCCGCACGGTTTGCCCCAGCTCTCTGGCAGGTGTCACAGGAAGCCCAGATGCCTCCCCGGCGGTGTGTCACTCCCTCTTTGTGTGTCACCATGGGGGTGGCTGTCACCATGTGCCTCTGACGACACGCAGGGCTCAATACAAACTCGTCGCAGCCGAGGAGCTGTCCGCGTGTTGCCCGGCCGCTGGCCCACTAGGCCCAGCCGTTCAGACCCTGGACTCAGACGGCTCTGGTCAGGGGTGGCGGAGGCTTCCCGGGGCCCCGGGCCTCCCACGGCACCATCCTTCTCCCCCGCCCCTGCCCGCCAGGCAAACCGGTCTGGGGCATCGGACTTCAGATCACACACGTCCCTGACAAGGAACCCACTGCCACCAGGGCAGGCTTCCCTCTGCGTGGTCTGCAGGACAGCAAGACCTTCCTGGGCCTGAGCTCAGCCAAGCCTTGGCCCGGTGCTGGGCACCCTTCGACTCGGCCCCCGGCACACACAGCACAAGGTGCCTGCCCTCTACTTCATCGGTGCCAGCCCCGGGTCCCTGAGATCTCCCTCCCTGGGAGGCCAGAGACCGGAAGCCGCGTGCCCAGGAAGAAAGCCACCTTGCGGCCTCATCACTTGTCTCTCCTAGCCTCGGAGTTGCATGTGCCGATTGTAAATACCCATTTGCCGCGTGTTTGTTTATTCAACACCAATTGAGAGAGTGTCCCAAAGCAGGAGCACGGCAGAACTGCGGCTGCGGGAGGAAAAAAGTGGGTTCTGAAGCTTTCTCTAATCAACCCCCTGCCAGCCTGAACCGCACACAAAACAGGGCCTTGCTGGTACCTGGGGCCTGATGAGCCCTTAGAGTGCAGAAAAAAGGCCCTTTGAGGGGCTCCCACACACGCCCCCCCTCACCGTGAGCAGGGGCACACAGACTCCCAGGTCGTGTCCCAGCCGCACCGCCGCAGATGAACCGGGGGGAGGGAGAGACGGGCCACCTCCCGGGGCACCCCACACACACTTGTTGATGGATTGGGTGGAAGGGCTGGCCCAGGGCCTGCCCAGCTTGCTCTGTCCCTAATGTGTACGTTCAGATTTCGGCTGGTGTCCAGACTGGTGCCTCTGCTTGCCCTCCCCAAGGTCAGTGGGGAGCAGGAGCTGGGTTCACTTTGTGACAGTGGGCTCTTCCAGCCTCACTGACCCCACCTGTGCCCGGCACCTTTGCAAACTCAGAATGGGACCTCCTGGGGAAAGCGGGATGCTGCTGATACCCACCCCCCAAAGCTCAATCAGGGTTTCATCCCCTTCTGGAGCCCACAGACCCTCCAGCCTGACCTTCAGGAGGCCCATCTTCCCCTGCCCACCAGCAGCACCAAGGCAAGTGGCCCTCCGCAGACTGTGCGTAGCAGCCTCCATCCCACGTCACCACCACCCCCACCCCACCCCACCACACACACACACACACACACACACACACACAGGGCTGCTCACAACAAAAGCTGCCTGCTGTTTTAGGGGGTGGGGTTAAGAGGGGGTGGCTCTGTGGGACACTGTGAGGCTGGGGGAGGTAGAGAAAGAGGCACTGACGCACTTGCACTACAGGCACACACACCGTCTGCGGGGCTCCACAGCCCTCCCCCAGCATCTTCCAACGGTGGGGGGGGGGGTCCGGAGCTCCTTGCAGGGGTGAGGCTCCGCTCCCCAACTCCGTGTGAAATACAGTCAGCTTCTGGCTGGGCTCCCCTCTGACCACCTAGCTCCAGCCATTGGCATCCTGGCCCCCTCTGATGCCCAACATTCACCCCCTCACCCCCAGATGTGGTCCCCTCCTCGGTCGGCTGCCACAGAAACCTGTGCCTTTAGGGCAAGAGGCAGGGGTCTCCCGCAGGCAGGCCCCTTCGGTCTCTGAGGCAGGTGCCTTTCTCCCACAGGCCCCTGGAGGGCGTTTCCTCGCAGGACCACCCAAGCCATCCCTACCCCAGCCCCTTCCCGCTGCGGGAAACCGAGAGACCATGCTCCTTGGAACAATCCCCAATGTGTCACCATAAGGGGGCATTCTCTGATGCCCATCTCCTCCGGAACGAACACATTGCTTGCTCACCCCTCAAACCTCCCGAGGCCTGCAGTATCCAGCACCCAGGGGCCCTCCAGCGTCCCCTGCCCCATCCAGGAGGCGCCTCCATGTGTCTTGGGAGTAGAGACAGGTCCTCACGGGTCGCTTTGGGTCTCCCTGGCCGCAGTGCGCTCCCAGACCCTGGTCCTCCCTTCTGGCCCCAGAAAGGGCTCGAGGTCGCTAGCCGACCTACCCCGGAAGCCCCCGGGACATTTGTGGGGCGAGGGTATCGGATTGCCGCGCAGGAAGGGAGCGGCGATGGGAGCGGGCTTCATTTCGGATTCCGGAGCTTGGCCCCGCGCTGCCCCGGCCCGCTCTCTGACGGCGGAGAACGCGGCTTGCGGGGACGATCGAGCTGGAAGAGGAGGTCCGCAGTGTCCAAGGGGCGAAGCCTCTGGGGTGTGGGGAGGGCGGTCAGCACGGCGGGGCAGGGGCAGCCGGGTGACCCTTACCTGATCTCCGCGGGGCCTCGCCACCGGGCTGCGTGCTGCGACTCGGCCCGGGGCAGACTCCGCAGGGAGGGCGCGCAGCTGCCAGTCCGCGTCCCGCGTCGCCCGGGGATGCGGAGCGTGTGCCCTGAGGAGCGAGTGCCGATCCCGGGTCTCCGCGTCTGTGTGTCAGCCAGCGGCCCGTGGCCGTGGGTCCCTGCCGGTGGCGCGTGCGTGTGCGTGTGCGCACGCGGGGACCGCGCTCGCCTAAAGCCGCTGCTGTCAGTCACCGCCCGGGGCCGGAGCGCGGCGCCCCACGCCCGCCCAGCGGAGTCTGCCCTGCGGGAGAGGCGCCGCCTCCGCGGCGAAGCCAGGCTCTGGGCGGGAGGGAGGCGACCGACCACCCCCTCCCCGCCCCCCCTCTGCGCACTTCGCAGGCTGGGGGCTGGGGTGCGGGCCAATGAGCGCCTGGGGGAGGGGTTAGGCCCAGGCCGTAGTAGGAGGGGGAGCGGGACCCCGCCCGCCGCTTTCCCCTCGCTTAGAGGTGGACGGTGGACACCAGCCAGAGCTGCGGCGCCGACCCACTAGCCGAGGATGCGGGGGCGACCACTCCCCCTTCGTCGCTGGGCTTCCGGGGGCTCACTGCTCTCCTTCCCACCCTCCCCGAGATACCCAGAGCGAGAAAGCCCTGATCTTTCTCCCTCCCACATCCTCAGGATTCTGAGTCCACTAGAGCCTGTCTTCCTCCTCCACGAAGCCTTCCTTAACTTGACAAGCCCTCGACTCTCATGGTTTCTGTGCCCCCACAGCCCTGGCCTGGAAAGATCAACTGGCTTTGGGGTGCCCGGCTGAATGTTTTCAAGTGTGACCTCCCGGAGAATGCTTCTGTGTTCAGAAAAGGGGCGGGGGCATACGGGAAGGGGGGACGGACCTACAGCAACCTCAAATGATACTGCTCAGACAGGAGTCAAACCGCCTGCTCCAGTCCCCAGCACCAGGGCCAGCTCTGAGAGCTTGGGCAGGTGACTCTCTCTGCGCCTCTGCTTCCTGGTGCGTCGTGACGTACCCCACAGTAGGTTTTCACTGACTTTATCTATTCAGTGAAGATTGAATTACTATCGCCACTGTTATTGTGATCCCACTGAACCTCCTCCTATTATACAGATGGGTAAACTGAGGCTTCATAAGGAGAACTAAACGAGTCAAGGTCATGTAGCCAGTCGGTGGCGGAGCCAACTCTAACTGAGAACCCACTCCCAGGCCAAGTATTCACCCTCTGCTCACCCCAACCTGCCGCCCCTGCTCTCAGCATCTGGCCACAGTCCCACGGTCAGCATCCCAGGAGCTGACCCTCCACACCCGCTCACCTTTCCGCAGCCGGGCTCCGTCCTTCCGCACTCACATCACTTATTGCCCAGCCTCCCTGTGGGCCCAAGTCCTGGCCGTGGCCGCCTTGCTGAGGAAGCTTGAAGGAAGAGGCGGGATGAGAGACTGAGCCTTTCCTTTGGGATTCCGGTCCAACGGAGGAGAAGAGGACTGGAGGGCAGAGCAGGAGTCCGTGACGGAAACTTACAGGGAGCATCCGAGGCCCCGGGAAGATGCGCAGAGTTCCCCCACATCCGCACAGCGAGTCGGCGGTTTCTCATTACTGCGCAGTGAACACTGGCCCCGCTGCTGCACCGCACTGTGGGTCACCGTGACTCACGCCCCTTTCAGTCCCAGAAAGCTTCCTGGAGGAGGAGAACATCAGTCCTCTGTACCAACAAAGAGTGAAGCCCTCCGGGAGAGGGGTCAGGCTAGGGTCAGACGGCCTGGCAGGCTGGACTTCCCTCTGGGCCCGGCTTGTGGCCCTAGCCCCTGGGAGCCTGCTTCCCCCATTCGGACAGCCCTGGCGCTGGGAAGATCGCATGGGATGCGGGTGTGAAAGTGCTGTGTAAACTGTGAGGTGTCGTTAGAGAGGAGGACGGGCTGTGAGGAGCCTCAGAGTCAGGCGGGAGACGTGGAGTGAGGCATGCGGGGGGCCAGGAGGGTAAGGTGGGGTGACGGTGAGAGTCATCTACTGCAGGCCAGCTCACCCCGGGAATGCCGGTGGTCTGGCCCCTGGAGGAGGTCCCCTCGGCTCTGAGGTTGACATTCAGTTCCAGGTTTATTCCCTCTCATATACCCTGAGCTCTCCAGGCCCCACAGTGGGCTCTGGATCCCCTGCACTCTGTTCTGCACCCCCAGATGTGTGTTGTGGTGTGGGCAGTGAGCAGGCTGGAGTGGGCACGTCTTCGTCTTGGGGGCAGCTTCCTCTCTGTGGGGCAGTAGCGGGCCCGGGGAGGAGCCCAGCCAGGCTGTGCTCACAGCCTTTCCCTTCACCTCTTCTCACATGGCTTCAAGGCCCCCGGTGGGGTGTGAGACTCTAGCAGACCGTATCCAGGGTGAGTCTAGGCTCTGGGCTCCACTGTGCAATGGGTGCCCCACACAAAGGGGCTTGGCCAAGCGGCGAGTGGGGCCAGAAACCCAGCTTCTGCTCTGCCCACTGCCCACCAAGCCAGGCACACAGAGTTCACCCCAAAGAGGCGGTTTTTCTAGTCAGTCCTGGAGGGGCACCCCTCTAATCTCCCCAAGGCGCCATATGGGCTAGCAGTCCTCATAGATGGATCTCATCCGAGCCCCACCTCGTAGCATCGGCCTGGGGAGACATGGACATGAACCTCAGACCTGGGACCAGGGCCTGGTCTGGTCCCCTTCTCTGTGCATGAGGTGCCCAAGCCCAGAGGGGCCACAGGACAAGCCCAAGGACATACAGGCAACTTTCCTATCACATCGGGGATTGAAGCCCACGTCCTGGTGCCCCCACCCCTTAGTTCTACCTGGTGGTCTGCCTGATCGTGCTGGGGGCCCTGGCTGGGCCTTCTTGTCCTGGACTGTGTTCTGCCCGTCCAGGCTTATGGCTGTGGCCCTTCCAAGCAACCTCGGTTCTCCTTGGGCAGAAGACACCCCGTTCCCCAGAATGGGCCTCCCCCAGGACAGGGCCAGAGCCTCCTTCTTTTTCCAAGACCCTGCCCATCCTCACCCTGCCCGCCTGGCTTCAGCAAGACCAGAGGCTGTGAGACCAGCCTTGGGAGTGGTCTTCTCCCAGCAGACCCCTTGCATTGCCTCTGCTCCCCTGGGGAGCGGGGCTGGGGGTCTTCTCTACAGCTTGTCCCTTCCCTGAGGTGCTCACTGCCTCAGCTCCCTTCCACAGCCAGCCAGCCAGCCAGGCGGGCAGCAGCTCAAAACTATGGGATTTAATTCAATTTTCTGAGCCGTGGCTGAGGGAGATAGATGCCAGGCTGCCCTACCCAGCATTCATCTTTCCTGAACGGCAGCTCCCTGTGAGCTGCTCCCCGCCCCACCCCACCCAGCCCTCACCTTGCTCAGGCCGGCCAACAGCATCTTCCAGGACGCCGAGGCGTCTTGATAGCAAATAGCTGACGTTTGCTGAACGCTCACCTTGCCTTGGGCCAGTGCTTCTCACCCCCACTGGTGCTACAGGATCCCTGGGGAGCTTTAAAATACACCCGTGCCTGGGCCTCCCCACTCAAGATCATTAGACAGTTGGTCTGTGGTGAGGCCTGAGCAAAAGTATCTTTTTAAAGCTCCCCGGGGGATTGTAATGCGCAGCCAAAGTTCAGAACCATGGCTGTAGGCCCTGTGCTGAATGCTTTGCATGGGAGAGTCCCCCGTGCACCCGGAACCCGGCAGAGGAAGGGAGCCACGGGCAGCCTGTTCCCCTTTGCCCAGGACACGAAGAGGGTGGGGAGTGACAGATTCACTCCTGCGCATCCGCCTGTTTAATTCCCGTCTGGGGCGTGCCGTGGGCCTGGATGTCAGACTGTGGAAGATGTGGTTGTTTCCGCCGACGCTGGAGGAGACCAGGCTGAGCCTGGGGGACCTCTCACTGGAGCCAGCGGGGCCCTCAGGTCTAAACCGCACCAGCTGTGAGGCAAGTTTTGTTCAGAAGTGACCCTGCTGCTCACTTCCTGCATCGGACCTCCAGGGAGGCGCCAGGGGCCCCAGATGCTTAGGGAGGGCCCATCGGAACACCACAGGGCAGAGTCAGGGAGGCTCTGGAACACCGAGCACCGAGCCCCCTGAAGGTGTGTAAGCCCATTGCCCCATAAAGGTCCCCCTCCCCCTGACCCACAAGCCGCAGGGACCTTCCTGGTGGCAGAGCCTGGGCTCCCCTGGGGCAGCACCCACTTGAGCAGCGGGCACTGCATGCGGGTTGGATGCTGCGACCCCCTGCCCCCTCATCCGAGACACAGCAAACTCACAACATGAACCGCTGCCTCCTAGAGCCGTCTCAGTTACCCCATGGGTGCTGGACCCCGAATCCAGGGATTCTCTGAGCAACCGGGGCAATGAAAAGCTGCCCAGGTCCCTGGTGCTCCAGCTGGGCTCCGGGAGCTCCAGAAATCCTCCTAGCTGCCTCCCTAAACGCCTGGAGCACAGCAGGGAGGGAGAGCCATCTTCAGAACAGCCTGGGAGCTCCTCAGAGCTGAGGAGTCCCGCCCGCGTCCTTCTGCCCTCCTGCCTGCCTGCCCCCAAGGTGTGCTGGTAGCTAAGGGTGGGCAAGAGCAGGGTGTGTAGGGTAGGGGAAGTGGGATCAGGGGGCCAGGGATTTGAAACCCCAAATTCTGCATGCTGACTTGCCTGGTGAGCACCCCATTGCACAGATGAAGCAACTGAGGCGCAGAGAGCAGAAATGAGTGGGCAGGCCAACCGTAGCAGAGCTGGGGCCACACGCCAGCTCTCTGGACTGTGAGTCCTGCACTCTCTGCCCTGACCATGATAACTCCTAGAGGAAGGACACCCTTCCAGGGAGCTGGGCAGAGTGGGCGTACTGGGAGTAAGGTGGCGAAAGAAGTGACCCCTTGAAGCTCGGAGTAAAAGTGAGAGATACAGGAGCAGCACCACCTGCCCTCAGTCTCCTGACCCATGGACATAAATAGGCAAATGCAGCCTCGTATCCGGCACGCACCCGAATATGCGTGCTTATCGCTGTGTGTGATTATACTCTGCACGCGAACACACGTGCGTTTCCATCCGATACATCGACCCAGCGGGGCATCCACCAAGGGGCTGAGCAGGCACGGGCACACACAAGGGTGCCATCCACAGCTCTGCAGTATGAAAGCACATCTTCTCTGTCAAAACCCAGGTGTCTCCTCTCCCGCAGAGCTGCATGCAGGCCTCTCCGAGGAGGCAGTGGCGCTTCCCATTCACCCTGCGGAGTGCCCTCCCCGGGGTACTCAGCCAT